CGGATCCCGGCTGGACGGCTCATGGCTGGCTGACGGATCTGGCTGCTCATGGCTGGCTGACGGATCTGGCTGCTCATGGCTGGCTGACGGATCTGGCTGCTCATGGCTGGCTGACGGATCTGGCTGATCCTGTCTGGCGGAAGGCTCTGGCTGATCCTGTCTGGCGGAAGGCTCTGGCTGATCCTGTCTGGCGGAAGGCTCTGGCTGATCCTGTCTGGCGGAAGGCTCTGGCTGATCCTGTCTGGCGGAAGGCTCTGGCTGATCCTGTCTGGCGGAAGGCTCTGGCTGATCCTGTCTGGCGGAAGGCTTTAGCGGCTCCGGTCTGGCGGACGGCTCTGAAGGCTCATGGCAGACGGGCGGCTTATGCAGCGCTTGGCAGACGGACAGTTCAGACGGCGTTGGGCAGACAGGCAGTTCAGGCGCCGTTGGGCAGACGGGCAGTTCAGGCGCCGTTGGGCAGACGGGCAGTTCAGGCGCCGTTGGGCCGACGGGCAGTTCAGGCGCCGTTGGGCAGACGGCAGACTCTGGCCGGCCGAGACGCACTATAGGCCTGGTGCGTGGTGCCGGAACTGGTGGTCCCGGGCTGAGGACACGCATCTCAGGGCTAGTGCGGGGAGCAGGAACAGGGCATGCTGGACCCTGGGAACGCACTATAGGCCTAGTACGTGGTGCCGGAACTGGTGGTCCCGGGCTGAGGACACGCATCTCAGGGCTAGTGCGGGGAGTAGCAACAGGGCATGCTGGACCCTGGGGACGCACATAAGGCCTAGTGCGTGGTGCCGGAACTGGTGGTCCCGGGCTGAGGACACGCATCTCAGGGCTAGTGCGGGGAGCAGCAACAGGACGCACAGGACTCTGGGGACACACAGGAGGCTTGGTGCGTGGTGTAGGCACTGGTGGTACTGGGCTGGAGCGGGGAGGTGGCGCCGGAAATACCGGACCGTGCAGGCATACTGGCTCCCTTGAGCACTGAGCCTGCCCAACCTTACCTGGTTGTATACTCCCCGTCGCCCGACCAGTACGGGAAGGAGGAATAACCCGCACCGGGCTATGTGGGCGAACCGGGGACACCATGCGTAAGGCAGGTGCCATGTAAGCCGGCCCGAGGAGACGCACTGGTGGCTTGATGCGTAGGGCCGGCTTCATGACCTCCGGCTCAATGCTCAATCTAGCCCGGCCGATACGTGGAGCTGGAATGTACCGTACCGGGCTATGCCTGCGTACAGGAGACACCATGCGCTCTACTGCGTAACACGGTGTCTGCCCGTACTCTCGCTCTCCACGGTCAGTCCAGGGAGTAGGCGCAGGTCTCCTACCTGACTTCGCCACACTCCCTTTTAGCCCCCCCCCAAGAAATTTTTGGGTAGTACCCACAGGCTTCCAGCCTCGACTCCGTGCTGCCTCCTCATACCACCTCCTCTCGGCTTTAGCTGCCTCCAGCTCTTCACGAGGGCGGTGATATTCCTCCGGTTGTGCCCAAGGACCCTTTCCAGCCCGTATCTCCTCCCATGTCCATGAATCCTTTGGAGGCGTCCATAAATCCTGTGTAGGTAGGTCCTGTTGCCGCTTGTTACGCTGCTTGGTCCTCTTGTGGTGGGTTTTTCTGTCACGACCGTCTGAGGAAGCGGACCAATACGCAGCGCGTGGAGTGAACATGATGACTTTATTTAAAGAAAGCACGTAACTACAAAACAAAAGACGATCGTGAAGTCCTACAGTGACTAATACTGAACCTGGAACAAAAACCCACAACCCACATGAGAACACAGACAGAATAAATATGGCTCCCAATCAGAGATAACGAGCCGACAGCTGACACTCGTTACCTCCGATTGGGAGTCACACGACACCACAATTAACACACCCAAAACACAACCAACCGAATACACCCTTACAACCAACCCCACAACAAATACCCAACAAAACAAATACACCCTGGCTCAAATCCAACAGTCCCGGAGCCAGAGTGTTACAGGAATGCCTTGGAGATCGGACCAGTTGGTGACCACTGGTCTACACCTTTACTAATTTCTCTCTTTGCCTGTTCATTATCTAATGCAAACAACCTTTCTGTGAACATCAAATTTCCTGCATTCTGTGCAGTATAATGTATTAGTGACTAATGCTAAACTGGAACAGCTAGTCTAAGAGTATCCCTGACCATTGTCATTGGTCCTGCCTTTCCATTGGTCCATTTGAAAATACCCATCCATTTCTTTGGGCAGGGATATTCAGTAACGATCCATCTCTACTCTGGAAACCTGACTGGACTGGAAACCTAAATACAAATAATTATCAGAGAATGGCATGATCCAAGATATTCACTACAGGCTGCTTATTAACCCTACTACATAATAGGATGACCTAGAATAGATGTGTATATGTTTTACTTGAGCTCCTATTTGAAGTTGGTTAGTTCAGTATCATCATCCTGTCTATGGAACTAAGACCCTCCCAAGTCCTTTCTTCTCCATATTAATACAAACACAGGATAGTGCCCCAGAATAGAAGCCGGAACTACTTAATTATGGAGGACTCCCTTTAATATATCCATTCCTCACTAAACCCTTGAAGTACTAGTACCCCAGTTCCTTAGATACGAAGTGCATATAGTCCCTTAGTTACAGCCTTGAGTAGAAGGATTCTGATGGAAACAGTGCAGCCTGGGAGGTTGGGAAGGCTTTGGTCAGCAGTTTGTTTACACAGCAGATTTTATAAGCCCATGGTTTGTGCTTGCGTTATGCATCCATCCACCCCTCTGATGTAATTTATTTAGACAAAAAACAGATGATCAAATAGCCGTGCTGCTGCGAGGCAGGGAAGGCAGCACTGTCTGATCCTCAGCTAAACCCTACTGCACCCTGAAGCTCCTCAGCCAGGACTAGTCTAACTCCACCACAGGGCTCAGCCTGATTTGGTCTGGTCACGGAGCTGCACCACAGGGCCCACTGGGCCAGCTGGGGCATGACAGGGTGGTCTTGATGAGCTCCCTGCCCTCCTCACTGCAGTTCCACTAATGACAGGATGAACAGCCCCCTCCGACGATGCAAATAAACAGCTGTCCAGAGCAGCAGAGCTCACGCCGCCCTGATTGCATGCTGATGGGTGTAATTAACATGTATTTCAAATCCCTCCTGAAACACAGCGCTGCTCACAAAGATAGCCCATAGGATAGCTGCAATTAAAACCTGCGCAGTGGGAGGACTAGCAAGTCAGGCAAAATCTTCAATTGAGAAACATGCTGGGAATATTGCATTCTAATCTCCATTTGAAATCATTTTCATTAATCACCATGCCATGTTTACTTGGCGTTTAAACTCACATCCTCGGTTGTAATGTTGTGTACAGATAAATTATTTACACTCTTGATAACATCTTGGGTTGTTTCACTTTCAGATTGTAATCAGCATGCATTTTTCAGAGTTAACTTGATCAGCATGCTGCTTCATACCCCAGGAGGACTGTGACACTTACAGTATTGAGCCAGCCAGGCCCTGGCTTAATGTTAATGTCATTATTGTTATTATTACAGCTGATATTAGTTGCTGCTGAGCCAGTAGGGCCTTTCAATCATTCCCTGAGAAATTTACTCTGTGAGTAATTAATCTGTGATTTAGTCAGAGTAGACCGTGGCCAAAACTGGCTCCTGCCCTGCCTGCCCAGTGGGCACCACACACACATCCATGCCGACAAAGTCCTGGTGCCCTCCACTCTACCGCAGAACCCAGACAGGCTGTGACCCTCTGAGAGTAACGGGATATTCAACAGATTTAATGTCATTGAAGTTGAATGTAATGTTCGATAGATGCTCTCTGCGCCCCGTCTTTTAAATTATGATTAGATTGTCATTTAGCTCTGACCTTGTAGGTATCGATGGAAGCCACAGGAGGCAGCCACAGTTGTCATTGGAAACAGAATTTGACAATGGCAATTCTAATTTGTGGGTTGGCTTGGTATCAAAGCACAGAAGGGGCTTTCATTGTACGGTGCAGTGGCGGACTGGGACCAAAAATTGGCCCTGGCATTTCTAACACACCAGCCCATGTTTTCCCTTGAGACCCCCACACCAGACCATTTTTTCCCCTTGAGGCCTCCAGTACTAGCCAGATAACTATAATTTTGCGCAATAAATCCAAGATAGACAAACCCACTGGGCTAAAAATGGACCAGCCCATCTGGCATTTGCCCGACATGCCAGATGGCCAGTCCGCTCCTGGTACTGTGTGTTCTATTTTACTGAGGTACTTCATTTACATTTACGTCATTTAGCAGACGCTCTTATCCAGAGCGACTTACAAATAGGTGCATTCACCTTATAGCCAGTGGGATACCACTTTACAATGTTTTTTTTTTTTTTTTTTTTTGGGGCGGGGGGTAAGGGGGGGTAGAAAGATTACTTTATCCTATCCCAGGTATTCCTTAAAGAGGTGGGGTTTCAAATGTCTCCGGACATTCAATGACACTTTGGAACCTGTTTTTTATCCTTTGATGGTAGACTTGTAACTAAAGATAACTAAAGAAATCCATCAAGAAAGCTTTAGAATTCTGGGGGAATTGTTGAATTGAAGTTGAGCAATATTCCAATTGTAGGCCTATTTCTGTAAGGGGGTAATGAAATGAATCTGCCATAATGAATTAATCTGTGAGGTAATTATATGCAATTAATTGTTCTATCCGTTTATTCTGATTCAATGACCACTTTTTATGTATTTCTAGTGCAGTGCAATATGTTGGTATTGAAGTGCGTAGATAAGCTTGTGGCATGTTGCTATTCAAATTTCATCTGTCTTGCTGACTGTTGATATTCAAATGTCACCTCAGTGAAATACCCACAACAATCATCCATACACCTGTCTAATGTCCTAATGGATACAATATTTCCTTTTAGAATGTATTGTAGGCAATACTGATGTTTCTGTTTCCTTGTTCCTCTCCCATGCAGGCTCCCGTTTGGTCAATGGGATGTTAGTGGTCTGGAGACGTACCAGGACTGAAGGAGCATGGTGAAGCACCAACCCCTGCAGGTTTACGAGAGGCAACTGTGTTTGTCATGTCTCACAGGGATCTATGGGTGCCGCTGGAAACGGTACCAGCGGTCACATGATGACACCACCAAGGTGAGTTCTGCCTAGTAGACCTTACGTTCGTACCTAAATGACCATAATGGACATGGTGTACAGGTGTAGCTATATGGTTGTTCTTTCTGGAAGATCTATTATAACCCAAATGTCTGTTGGTTGACGGGAGCGAGTGTAATCGAATGGTACCAGACAGTCCACTTTTTTTCTTTTTTCGTGCCAGTTCACTGCAGGATTACAGCACCACACTGCATCTTATATCTCACTATTAATTAAAAACACTCTAATTTGGCGTGTCTGTGAGCGTGCAGTGCATGTGGGCAGAATTCCTTCCTTATGCCATCCGTTACCCATGACCCATCTTTCTAAGATGTATTTATAAAGAGCCATGTAGGCCTATCCCTTAACAGATAACCTTGCAACCCATCCCTTCCCTAATAACCTGTCCTTGGGCTCTCACTGGAGGTGCCTTTGGCCTTGCAGATCACCTGCATGTCCTGCGACTGTGTTTAAGCCTGTAAGTGCTGCAGATAGTATTAGATTTTTTAATCAAGCATTCAGAGCCTCCCCTTGGTCACATTCATCACAGCCTTTATTTGTCTAAATGGGTTTTCCATAATGCCATGCAGCCCAGGTCTGTCTGTCAGAGATTTAGTACCGCATGAGAAGTAACTCAGTGAGAGTATGATGGCTGGAGCACTATAGTCCATCACCTAGCTAGCCTGGGACATGGAGACAGAGCTGAGGGGGCTGAAACGTGTGTGAAATATAACGTGCCATACATGTTTTATATGGCATAGAAATGTGATATAAGGCTTGGAAGGATCCATACGGGGAGAGAGAAAGGGAAAACGCACCATTCCCTCAGGGGTGTTGCATACAATTTGACACACTGTAACATGCATTGCGGTGTCATCCTACAACTCACATGCACCTCAAACAAAAACATGTCCAAGTACCCTTTTCAGTCATAAGAACGACCTCTCGTCCTGTGAGCTTTACATGCAGGCTCTGCTGAATGGCGGATAGATGAGCTATACGTGTTGACCTTTCATTCCTACCCTATTTGCCCTCAGGAAGGGAATGCTACATCAGTTCTTTAAACCTTCCGATAGATAGAACACATTCATATTTGACTGGACCAAGGCCACATGAAAAGAAAATCAGCACAGATAGAAACAACAAAGTGATTTTGATTTTTTTCATCCTTTGGTGGGAATAGGATACCGTGGCTCTGTTTCCTGTTGTCTCTGAGACTGGTATATATGGTACTGCAGAGTCAGCTGTGTGTGTGTGTGTGTGTGCAGCCTTGGCCACCATGTGTGGCAGGCGCGTTGACCCACTGGGGGAGAATCGGCCAATCAGCAGCCTGTCTGTGTACAAAAATCAGTGACGGAAATGCAGCTCCAACAGCTGAGGCCCTAGGGCTACAGCACCAAGGGGTCTCTGCAGAGATGGACTGACATCCAGGCCAACATTGAACACAATTATGTCCCACATGGCAGAACAGACACACAGTCACACACACAGCCCTGGCCTACATTGTCACCATTTTGTTCTCTTTCAAATTAATACAGTGTAACAGGATGAGGCCCTTTATCTACTTCCCAGAGTCTAATGAACTCGTGGATACCATTTTTGTCTCTGCTTGCGGTTTCAAGGAAGTTGCTAATTAGCGCTAGCGCGTTTGCTAACTAGCAGATACCCATAGACTTCCAGTCATTGTGCTACTTAGCCTTGGCTCGTGAAACTACCTCTAACTTCCTTCATACTGGACACAGAGTCATAAAAATGCTATCCACAAGATCATCTGACTCTGGGAAAGTAGGTAAATGGCCTCATTGCCAAAATCCCAAACTATCCCTTTAACTATGGCTGCCCTGTGCTGCCTTGTATTGGAGGCCTATAGTCAGCTCACATTAGCAGATCGCCTGTTAAGTGTGCCAGCACTGCCAGGTCAGATGACGTCATAGATGCATCTTTAATAGCCAAAGTGCCCAATCAGTGTTGCTAATCAAAAGATGGTATCAGTTACATGATGTAATGTTTGAACCTGACAGGCAGCGTCACTGAACCGTGACCATGAGAAACCCAAGGTCTCGCTGAGACATGGACTCCCTTCATAATGCCCAGATTCAGAACAGAACAGAATGTCGTCTCTCCTCTCAGAGCTGGATAATGAACAGGCCAGTGTGCCTGAGCCTCCATCTCTTTGTGAACTTGGTCTCTGTGTGTTTAGAGCGGTTTGTAGAAAGGCCGCCCACGTCACTGGCACTGCAAGCTGATCTGGCCTCAGTAATAATTGAGAGTTTTTTCCATTTAGCCAGTCTTTACCTGGAGCACAATGGGTCTAGTAATAGGAACGAGCATCATTCTGTAGCCTTGGTCTGTCAAATGACGTACAGAGACACGTGAAGCCGAAATCCTGTTCAAATCAGTCGCTACCATCACTGTTTTACGTCGCAACTAAAGACTGTACTAGACTAGAAAACCAGACGGGCAACGTTCTAATATGGTAGGGAACATTCAGGCAACATCATGCAGGAAACATTCTCCTTGCTAGCTTTTTCCTATCTTCGTCTCAAGTCTTCCATTACCTCTTCTGGGATACAGGTGCATATCCAGCACTCATCCTCAGAATACTGGCAGAGGCCAATGGTGTTTCACTGTGTGATGAATCTCTTCTATGAGATGACTAAACCAGCAGCCGCTAGGCAAGCTGAATGAGGGGACGATGGTGATAGTCTGTCATGATTGTTAGTAAAGCTTTAGAGTAACTAGAAATCACAGTCCTAGTTTTCTAATGTCTGACATTTTAATGATGGAAATGTATTTTAATTGTCATTTGATTACTAGAAATGAAATGTGTTTGACTCATTTGATTTAAGCACTATGTTCATTATAAGACATTCAGTATTAATACAATTTGGTGGAGGTCATGAGCAATTGTCTTTGAAAACAAATGTACTGGTAACCTTTGTGCAAATAGCTCCTTGTCTACCCATCTCTATAGTTCAATAATCATATGTATGCACCTTTCAGTCAGTCTGCACTCACTTCCAGTAGTGCTGACATTCAAACAAGTCATCTATTAATATTGGGCGAGGAGGGGAATAGCCTAATCTTCCTGAATCCTGCCTCTCTCCAAAGGGAAATGTGTTCTGTCGGCCGGCTGTCAGTTTTAATCCCTCTCCGGCTGTCTGTCTGTCTCTACACAGATTCTCTGGGAGTTCGCTAGTTTCACAGCGGCAGGAGGGAACTGTTTAGACACTATAATTGCAGGTTCTTTTGAGGGGAATTATTCCATGTAGACGTGTTATTAAAGTCTGTACAGTCCTTACAACAACATAAACAACAGCCAGGCCTAGCTGCAAAAATAGCCTTGTCATGTCCTTTCTGTGTGTGTGTAGAGCTATGGAATGAAAGATTGATATGACACCAATTATATTTGACTGGTTCTCTTTTGGTTAATTAGGTACACTACCGGTCAAAAGTTTTAGAACACCTACTCATTCAAAGGTTTTTCTTTATTTTTTACTATTTTCTACATTGTAGAATAAATCATCAAAACTATGAAATAACAAATATGGAATCATGTAGTAACCAAAAAAGTGTTAAACAAATCAAAATATATTTTATATTTGAGAATCTTCAAATAGCCACCGTTTGCCTTGATATCAGCTTTGCACACTCTTGGCATTCTCTCAACCAGCTTCACCTGGAATGCTTTTCCAACAGTCTTGAAGGAGTCCCCACTTATGCTGAGCTGCTTTTCCTTCACTCTGCGGTCCGACTCATCCCAAACCTTCTCAATTTGGTTGAGGTCGGGTGATTGTGGAGGCCAGGTCATTTGATGCAGCACTCATCACTCCTTCTTGGTAAAATAACCCTTACACAGCCTGGAGGTGTGTTGGGTCATTGTCCTGTTGGAAAAACAAATTATAGTCCCACTAAGCCCAAACCAGATGGGATGGTGTATCGCTGCAGAATGCTGTGGTAGCCATGCTGGTTAAGTGTGCCTTGAATTCTAAATAAATCACAGACCGTGTCACCAGCAAAGCACCCCCACACCATACACCTCCTCCTCCTCCTCCATGCTTTACGGTGGGAACTATACATGCAGAGATCATCCGTTCACCCACACCGCGTCTCACAAAGACATGGCGGTTGGAACCAAAAATCTCAAATTTGGACTCCAGACCAAAGGACACATTTCCACCGGTCTAATGTCCATTGCTCGTGTTTCTTGGCCCAAGCAAGTCTCTTCTTATTATTGGTGTCCTTTAGTAGTGGTTTCTTTTGCAGCAATTTGACCATGAAGGCCTGATTCACACAGTCTCCTCTGAACAGTTGATGTTGAGATGTGTCTATTACTTGAACTCTGTGAAGTATTTATTTGGGCTGCAATTTCTGAGGCTGGTAACTCTAATGAACTTATCCTCTGGAGCAGAGGTAACTCTGGGTCTTCCATTCCTGTGGCGGTCCTCATGAGAGCCAGTTTCTTCATAGCGCTTAATGGTTTTTGCGAGTGCACTTGAAGAAACGTTCAAAGTTTTTGAAATGTTCCGTATTGACTGACCTTCATGTCTTAAAGTAATGATGGATTGTCGTTTCTCTTTGCTTATTTGAGCTGTTCTTGCCATAATATGGACTTGGTCTTTTATCAAATAGGGCTATCTTCTGTATACCCCCCTACCTTGTCACAACACAACTGATTGGCTCAAACGCATTAATAAGGAAAGAAATTCCACAAATTAACTTTTAAGAAGGCACACCTGTTAATTGAAATGCATTCCAGGTGACTGCCTCATGAAGCTGGTTGAGAGAATGCCAAGAGTGTGCAAAGCTGTCATCAAGGCAAAGGGTGGCTATTTGAAGAATCTCAAAATATAAAATATTTTGATTTGTTTAACACTTTTTTGGTTACTACATGATTCCATATGTGTTATTTCATAGTTTTGATGTCTTCACTATTATTCTAAAATGTAGAAAATAGTAAAAATGAAGAAAAACCCTTGAATGAGTAGGTGTTCTAAAACTTTTGAACGGTAGTGTACATCCTCTCTCAATTTACTTTTCACCAGCTCTTGACACTGTTAGTGTAAAGGCATTCTATGGGTTTGTGCTTTTTAAAAGATAAGATGGATACAAACTTCTAGAGAATGTTTGAAGCACTATTTTTCATTTCGTTTACCATAATCATATAGCTTTCGTTGGTCGGTGGAAGTGTAGGCTACCTTCTAGTATGTGTTATGTCCAAAAGGCTAACCAGAGAGAACATACTTTCAACAGTAGTGTGTGACTCTTACTACATTCAGTGTGATTTATCAGAGGCTGTATTCTCTCCCCTGTGCTAGTGTTCAGTGAGTTCAGCCAGTACGTGAGGTTACCAAGGTCTTCAATGTTTCCTGAACTTTTCAACTATTCAACTGCTGTTTCAGATCAAGAGCTGACCAAGAAGAACAGGCAAGACCAAAATCTCTAGGGTATCATTGTATCATATTAGTTGTAGCAATGAGGTCAGCAGCTCCACAGAGCTGAAGAGGCCGTTCTGTTCTGTAATAAGTGAAGCCACGGCCAGTTGGTGCACCTGACAGTTCTGTCATAATTGGAGAGAGGGTGGAGGAAACAGAGGCCTGGAACCCTCTAACCCTGATCTTCTCAGGGCAATGCTGTTGGTCTGATAGGTGGGCCTTGGCTGGGTTGGGAAACACACTAATGATTTTCCACAGCAGCAGGAGTTGTGAAGGGATTAGGGCTGTGAGGAGCTGTGGGACATTCAGTGACAACCCCTCCAGCTGCTGGTCTGGCCCAGGACACTCAGCCAGGACACCAAGGAGACTGGGAGAGACTGGGGAAGAGCACTGCCTGAAGAAAGGGAGGGTGATGGTGGGGAGGACACGTTCTCTCTGTGTTGTGGTTTGTGGCACTCTCGCTTCAGCTCTCTCCTCTCTCTCCTCTCTCACTCAATTGGCCTGTGTGCACCTGCTGCAGTCCCTGGTTGCATTCTTCATAGTTTGGCACATTCCAGATAGTTAAATGATAATACACTTTGGACCGTAGTGTTAAGTGGTGAAGTGTGTATTAATACAGGACTGGACAGATGCACAGTTTTGATGTACAGAAGCTAACTAGATAATTATCATATGAGATTGAGGAGTGTGTGAATACTAGGAGGAATTGGTTCTCAAGGATAAAACACTCTCGACACATTTCCATGGATATTTACATGGATATTTACATGGATATTTACAAGTGTGCCTTCTGGCATGTGGTAGCATGTTTGCATGATGTAAGTCAACAGTATGTGTGTATGTGATGAGTAATGGTGGGTTCCTCCTCACACCTCTTATATTGTTTGCACAGAATTGCCATGTGAAATAAGCGTCATTCAATAAACGTCATGCAAATTATACAATTTTTGTATTTGAATTGAAGGTTTGGATACCATTTAGCCCGAGGACTGTTGATGTGTATAAGTAATATTTCTGTGGATCGACTGGGCTAATGTAGTTTGAATTGTCGTGCCTTACTGGAACATCATTAATTCTAACTGCAGACATAATCCTGTAGCCAGTCCAACAAATTGCCTTCATTCCTATAATATTGTACAAGATTACATGATATACTGTAGCACAATAAATGACACCAGAACAGAACATTATATATGTTTTCCAGCCGCCAGGAGTTAGTGTGGAATCGGCTCATTCCTCTGCTGAGCTGCAGTCAGAAGCTACTGTAGATGGGACAGCAGTAAGGGCAGGGGAATTCTGGAGCCTAATAATATTGTCATCATCATCATGGTGTTAGTGAATCATTCATTTATTATGTGCCCCATCTGTCTGTCATCCTATTACCTTGCTGGTGCACTTGGATCCGACGTTGACCTTTTCTGTTTTAGACACAGAGTAAAACCTGATGAGTTTATAGTATATGTGGAAGTTCTAGTCTAGCATAACTACATTCCATTATAATTTGCCTGCCTGTGATTTTTAATGAGCGTCTCGTGGAAGGTCTCTCTAGCTTGCTGACCTGCAGTGAAGGTGGACTGTTCTGTGCTCCATGCTAGGTGTGTGTGTGATTGATATCTTCCATGCAGCCGAGTGCTGGTAGGTCTATCTTTAGTCATAATGCCACTATAATAGCCTGGACTCCTAGCAGGCATGGGCAGCGGCAGCCTCTATAGTGACTTTGGTACTGGGAGGTAACGAGAGGAAATGACGCCTCGAGAAAAGCCAATACAATCATAATGCACTACACTCCTGACTGCTGGCTGTTTAGATGGAGCTACTGGAGAATAGTGGGGAATACCCTGCTAGCCTTGGAGCTAGCAGGTAGGAAGGAAATTGGATTGCATGCAAGCACCTTTTGTGGAGTAGTCCCAGTTCGGCACAGCACAGCAAGATGGCCTTAAACATACACATATATTGTGTCACCAAAACTAAAGTTGTTATACGTAAACTGATCAGAAGAAAGCTTCTGTAATGTAATGAGTTGAGCTCTTTCTAACCATCTTGAATTATTCATTTAAAGATGCACTATGCAGAAATCGCTCTGCATTTCCTGGTTGCTAAAATTCAAATAGTTTGGCTAATTTGACTAAACAAGCAAGTGTAGTGTAGAGAATCATTGTACCATCTAAACCACTGTGAAATATACTTTCCATAACCAAAAATATAGTATTTTCAGCTGTTTGAAGCTGGTGTACAAAAGTAAAAGATGCAAAAACGAAACTTAAGAACAGGATGCATAGAAATAGCGCACATAGGAACAGATCTACCGCTTGTTAGACTTGCGTTCAATGAGAATGACACATCTATAACACACATTTCTAGCTATGTGAATTTGGTTGGGTCGCCCAAAAAGTTACATATTGCAGCTTTAAACAATTTTGAATATGGCGTTTGTTCGGCTGTACATGCAAATATATGGTATTTAAGTGATGACATTTCTGCAATCTACTCATATTTGGTCTTGAGAGACAATGGAGGGTCCTCTCTGATTTAGTGTTTACGGTTCCACAGAAGATAATATCCCCTGATCCCTTTTATCCCTATGTTTAGCCTCTATGTTGGTCAATGAGGCTTCGGCTATGATGTATGCCATCCTTTTTCAGCTGCCTGCCTGCTTAGTGCCTTTCAGCCAAGCAGCACAGCAATTTTCATGGCATTTCAAAAAAATATTATACTTTTTTTCTCCCCGGTAGAGGAAAGTAATTTCCTCTCCCCGCTCCCACTAGCAAAGTACAAGGCTGAATGAGTCGGCTCTGTTGGGCTTGAAAACGTCCCATTCAATACAATCTAAAACCTTTTATTTCCTCTCAGACCCATTAAATACTGTAAGTTGACTTTTTTTCCTGACCCCTCTTGACTGGTAGATAATGTTGACCATTTAACCTCACTTGGACACAAATGTCTTGTGGTAAATATAATAAAAAGGTTGCATCCCTCATTTTCCTCATTTTTGAATGGAAGTTCAACATACTGTATGATTCAACAGACTACTAGATATATTATAATCAGTAAACTTTGAGTTGCTTCCTTGTTTTGACAGTAGTTAGAAAACAGTTTTTAATGCTATGGTGTCGGCCCTGCCCTGAAGGTGTATGTTCCACCCTAAATAAAGCAAGCCGTGCAGATTGAAAATGTGATGTCATCCTAAGGCAGGCAGGCCGTATCATGCCAGACTGCTCTGATTTGATCAGCTCCTAAACAGCAGCAGAGAAGAACAATGACACAGGGTTAATGTTCAGCCATATAGTGTACACGTTGCACATACTGTACATGACGCTGGCTTGGCTGAATATTAATTGAAGGAATAAATGTGGCAGCCAGCCAAATAATGCGCCAAACACATTTGAAATGATAGGTTCATTTGAGGATTGAATTGCACATTTTTTACATGCACATTGTATGCAATATTTGCCACTCATAACTGGCCTGGCAACTCGTTTAGCTCCCAAACAGCCAGGTTAAAGCGATCCCAAACGTTTTGTCTCATTCGTTGTCCAAACACTACCTACTAATTGACCATCCAATCCCCTCTCTCCCAGGGGTGTCACCTCTGTAATCCATTTTGCCCTCAGCAGGTGAACAATGTCCCCTCACATGACCTCAAGGTGTCCCTCTCCCAGGTGTTTGTGGGTAGTCATTAAAAGCCAGGGGGACAGGGCCAGAGCAGTTGGATCAATCAGCAGGTCTGCCAGTCAGACCCCAGCCTACACCACAGGGACCACCTCCCTACCACAGGGTTAACCCTATGGTTACCTTGATGTCTGGCTTTCTCACATTGCAGTCAACATGAGACTTGGAAGTGTAGCCATGTGAAACTAACCCTATGGTAACCATTCTGGAGTCTGTATTACTATGATTTCTGAAAGGGAGTGATTTTCTTAGTACGGTCATAGAAGGAAGTAGTAAATGTTGTAGCTGAGAAAATATTGCCTAATCTTCATGACTAATGTTCAAAGTTAGACGTCAAACAGTATCAAGGTTCTGGTCTATATAATAATAATTTTTAACATGCATATTATTTTCCCGATTTTTATAATTCCTTATCCGGAAGAGATTGTTGACTAAAAATAATCGCCACATCCAAATCCCACAGGCTTCCTTCCCACATACTACTATATTCTCAATCCCTGCCCCAAATCACCAAATCTGCTCCATCCTGTTACATAATAATCCTCATACCATCCCAAACATGTGCTTTAGTGTTCCCCTAGTTAAACCGCTGTTTGGTCTGTCCACAACTCCACATAAACACATTAGGCTCTCCTCTCCAGTGCCCAGGGAGATGGTCAGAGTGGAGGGCAGAAGGTATGCAAGGGGCTCAGGTTGGTATCGGTCACCACCCAGTCATTAGACCTGGCCCTGTCTTACATCCTGTGCCACTGCCAGCCGATGCCCTCCATGGAACAGTCATCCAAGGTGAACGTCCAGACAGCTTTGTTTGTGCTCTCATATCACCTTAATATCTCCTATCACAGCATGGCTAAATACAGAGTCAACCGGGGGCTTATTCTGGATGGTGTAATGTAAGAACATTATTGCAGATATAAATGTTATGTATAGAGCTGGAACAAGTTTTTTTTTTGCAAAACAGACAGTCATGTCAGTTTTATTCATACATTAATATCTGAGCGTTCTCCAGTCCTCCGGACTCTGTGAGTAAGCCTGATTGTGCTAATTTGTGGACTGGTATGCAAATACAGTGTGAAGAGCAGCCAGTCGTGCTGTCTGTTTAAAAAGCTCACTTTTTGTGCTTTGTCATCTAAGTCATGTGTATGTCCGCATGCTAACATTCTATCTTGTATCTCTTTATTAGAGCTCTTATTGCAGCTTGCGTTGGCATTGGAAGGCTAAACACACCTGACCACTAGTCTGCTCATGGCCTCATTGGCTATTAAGTTAATGTGAGTAATTACTTGATAATGAAGACAGTGGATTGGGGGGATGTGAGCTTTATTGAGTCCCTCTGCTTTTTTACTGAGACAATATGGCCCTATGACAGTTTCTGCATGAATGGTTACTGCTTCTACCGCCGCTGATACCAGACATGTGGTTCTCTCTTTTCAATCATAGTTGCAAAGCGGCATGAATGTTGTCTCTTGTCTTTGGTAATGCAGGCATTGTGAATGCCTACACAAAGTGGGAGTGTGAAATTATTTATGAACAGAATTGACATTATTGTTTTGACTTGTTCTCCAGACCGTTCCTCGTTTGTTTGGGGTTTACCACCTTTAATCTGATGCAGCTAGCGAATGGTGATTTAAATGTTAGCCATGACTCCAGGTTTGAGCCATCCGTCTGTGTGCCAGCCCGGGCTGCACCGTCATCAGTCTCTCTACATCCAGATTATAGTCATCAGTCTCTCTACATCCAGATTATAGTCATCAGTCTCTCTACATCCAGATTATAGTCATCAGTCTCTCTACATCCAGATTATAGTCATCAGTCTCTCTACATCCAGATTATAGTCATCAGTCTCTCTACATCCAGATTATAGTCATCAGTCTCTCTACATCCAGATTATAGTCATCAGTCTCTCTACATCCAGATTATAGTCATCAGTCTCTCTACATCCAGATTATAGTCTTTGGCTGGATTAGGGCAGATTTCCCAATGATGACTCTGCCGGATTTTTAGGAGACTACTGTTGTTTGCGTTTCTGTTGTCAGTGTTGATTGTGATGTTGACGTATGGGTGTAATGTTAAGTGGTGTGCCAGTCTGGGGTGGGCAAAGGACTTTCTCATCAGCCATTTGCTCACTTGCAATCAAAGAAAGCAATACAGTGAATGTACCGATAGTATTCCAATGTTTCCTCACCTGTTTCAACACAACACTGGCCAAGGTGCTTTATGTTAATCTGATGGTATCTGACTAATGGTACTGTGGTAAAGGTAATAATGGTTCCTGTGTGTGTTTGTTTCCCAGTGGGAGTTCCTGTGGTCTCTCATCCTCTTCTTCACTTTCTCTCTGCTCCTGGTCTGGTTCTACTTCTGGTGGGAGGCACACAACGACTACAATGAGTTCAACTGGTGAGTACTGCTGTACAGTGTGTGTGTTTGTGTGCACTAGTTATACAACTCATAGATTATTGTCTCTCAGTATATCGCCATCATCCGTCAGTGTTCTGTTCACTAAATGCTCCTCCGACCTTCCCTTAAATTGATTCTCTGGCATTTACTTAGATTAATGTTTTAATTTTAAAAGCTGCCATTTACTTTAGATTAATGTTTTACTTTTAAAAGCTGCCATTTTGTCTCCATATGTTTTTGCCTGAACTGAAAATGCTAACTATGTAGAGTGTTGTTTTGGTTGGCCAAACCAATTTTGGGATAATCCTCTTCCCTAATATGGGTGCGGATGAATGGGCCTTAGGGCATCTATCACTGCAGATTATAGTGAGCATGATTACATAAAGCAGGAATACCCTTTGACCCCAAATCACCTCTCGGATCATTCCATTAATGTCTCCCCCACAGTTACCATAAAACCAAATAATGCTTGGAGACAATTCAGGTATTGGTTCTGCCATGAGACAAGAGACATTGCACATTCAATTGATGGATATGCTACCACTGAAATTATGAATTGGGTTTATTTAGTCGAGCTCTTGACCAAGTGACCAAGCTCTTGACTAAGTCCTCAAAGCCTTCTACATTATTTGTGCACACTATGCCCCAGAGTTCACTATGATATGAGACACTCCTACATACCAGTATGTGCCTCTGAGCTTTAGTCCAGACAGATCCATGTGTACTGTAGTTTCATAGTGACCAGTGTTGTTTCATTCACTCTGGGCTGTCAGATCATACAGACCCACTGACAGGTCAGCTTGTGTCAGACAATCATTCTGTCACCCAGAAAACAAAGACTAAGGTCTCAGACACACCAACAGCATTTGCTGGCTGAGAGCACTTGGCACCTCTGAACGTAATTTGCGGAACGAGTGCTTAACGATTTTACATGTAGAATTGCGTGCAAAATGTTGGCAGTCAGACAGACGTCTACAGCAGGTGGTCCCTAAAACGCATTCGGTGCAGAGAGGGGGGGGGGAATCAATGCAAATAGTCCAGGTAGCCATTCGATTAACTGTTCAGCAGTCTTATGGCTTGGGGGTAGAAGCTGTTAAGAAGCGTTTTGGGCCTAGACTTGGCGCTCCGGTACCGCTTGCCGTGCGGTAGCAGAGAGAACAGTCTATGACTAGAGTGGCTGGAGTCTTTTACAATTTTTAGGGCCTTCCTCTGACACCGCCTGGTATTGAGGTCCTGGATGGGGGGAAGCTTGGCCTGAGTGATGTGCTGGGCCATACGCACTACCATCTGTAGTGCCTTGCGGTCGGAGGCCAAGCAGTTGCCATACCAGGCAGTGATGCAACCAGTCAGGATGCTCTCGATGGTGCAGCTGTAGAACCATTTGAGGATCTGAGGATCTTTTCAGTCTCCTGAGGGGGAATAGGCGTTGTCATGCCCTCTTCACATCTGTCTTGGTGTGTTTGGACCATGAAGTGGACACCAAGGAACCTGAAGCGCTCAACCTGCTCCACTACAGCCCCGTCGATGAGAATGGGCGCGTGCTCGGCCCTCCTTTTCTTGTAGTCCACGATCATCTCCTTTGTCTTGATCACGTTGAAGGAGAGGTGGTTGTCCTGGCACCACACTGCCAGGCCTCTGACCTCCTCCCTATAGGCTGTATCATCGTTGTCGGTGATCAGGCCTACCACTGTTGTGTCGTCGGCCAACTTAATGATTGTGTTGGAGTCGTGCTTGGTCACGCAGTCATGGGTGAACAGGGAGTACAGGAGGGGACTAAGCACGCACCCCTGAGGGGCCCCCGTGTTGAGGATCAGCGTGGCAGATGTGTTGTTGCCTACCCTTACCATCTGGGGGGCGGCCCGTCAGGAAGTCCAGGATCCAGTTGCAGAGGGAGGTGTTTAGTCCCAGGGTCCTTAGCTTAGTGATGAGCTTTGAGGGCACTATGGTGTTGAACGCTGAGCTGTAGTCAATGAACAGCATTCTCACGTAGGTGTTCCTTTTGGGCAGGTGGGAAAGGGCAGTGTGAAGTGCAATAGAAATTGCGTCATCTGTGGAAACTGTTGGGGGCGGTATGCCCCCGCTGCCCCCACACTCCCCTGCTGCCCCACACTCCCCCCTGCTGCCCCCCTCCCCCTGCTGCCCCACACGCCCCTGCCGACCCACCCCCCCCTGCTGCTGCCCCCACATCCCTCCCTTCTGCTGCCCCCACACTCCCCCTGCTGCCCACCCCCCTCCCCACTGCTGCCCCCACTACTCCCCCACACACTCCCCATGCTGCGCCCCACACGCCCCCCTGCTGACCCCACACTCCCCCCCTTCTGCACCCCACACTCCCCCCTGCTGCCCCCACACGCCCCCCTGCTGACCCCACACTCCCCCCTGCTGCCCCCACACTCCCCCCTGCTGCCCCCACACTCCCCCCTGCTGACCCCACACTTCCCCCTGCTGGCTCTGCAGCTGTGGCAGCCCAGGCCGTCCAAGACCCCCTGTCACACCGTTCGGCCTGACAGCCAGCCCAACCATTTGTGTGTGTGTGTGTGTGTGTGTGTGTGTCCCCGTGTGTGTGTGTGTCCATGGTTGTGCGTCCCTCTGAGTGTGTGTGCCGCAGGATGTCTTTGTTCCTCCCCTTCCTCTCCTGTGTGTGGAGACACAGCCTTAAAGAGACAACGTCCTTTTAGAACAAGGCATCAATAATTTGCCAATTTAACATAATAATTACATAATCTCCTTGTGCACCAATTCTCATTACAGAGAAGAAGCGACTGCAGCCATATACTCTGCGCAGCTTCCTCTGTTGTGTTTCTGTCTGTTTGCTTTCTTTTATGGGGATAATAAAGGCCTAGGATCCTGGACAAGGACACTAGAACACATTATGCCTGCCCTGGGAGTTCAGGCCTTCCGGTTTAAGCATCGGTGTCGGCTGTTTAGATCATTTATAGTCAGCCTGTTAATTTCCCACAGTGTTACAAAGAGACCCCTGGGGCCAGGACCTATGAATTAGGCACAGATCTAGGATCAGCTTAACCCCTCCCCCCCCCCCCGAATCCAAACCTTAACATTTTTACATTTACATTTTAGTCATTTAGCAGACGCTCTTATCCAGAGCGACTTACAGTTAGTGATTACATATTTTTTTTTATACTGGCCCCCCGTGGGAAGCGAACCCACAACCCTGGCGTTGCAAACGCCATGCTCTATCAACTGAGCTACATCCCTGCCGGCCATTCCCTCCCCTACCCTAGACGACGCTGGGCCAATTGTGCGCCGCCCATGAGTCTCCCGGTCGCGGCCGGCTGCGACAGAGCCTGGATTCGAACCAGGATCTCTAGTGGCACAGTTAGCACTGCGATGCAGTGCCTTAGACCACTGCGCCACTCAGGAGCTCAAGATCACTTAAGGGGGGCGTGTGGGGGCAGCAGGGGGGAGTGTGGGGGCAGCAGGGGGGAGTGTGGGGGCAGCAGGGGGCATACCGCCCCAACAGTTCCACAGATGACGCAATTTCTATTGCACTTCACACTGCCCTTTCCCACCTGCCCAAAAGGAACACCTACGTGAGAATGCTGTTCATTGACTACAGCTCAGCGTTCAACACCATAGTGCCCTCAAAGCTCATCACTTAACTACAAGAGGAATCACAAAACTGACCTTAGATCCTCCTGGTTGGTCACTCTGCTGGTTTCTACTTTCTATCCTCTATCTCTCAGAGACCAGAGCAGCACTAACTGCAGCCTGCCCTGATATCCATGAGACGCTACTATTGTGTAACTGACTTCTGTTTTGGTCCGTTTTACAGGTTTTTATATAACCGCTCTGGGGAGTGGAGCGATGGGACCGTTCCAATCCTGGCCACTACCGCTGCCGGCTTCACTTATATTGCATTTTTAATGGTGAGTTGGCATCTCATCAGACATTCACTGTGAGATGATATTGATACTGTGTCTAGCCCTGGTAACAACCAGGGAATGTTAGGGGTGTAACCTGGCAGAGCAGAAACGTGTTGCCATGCATGTCTGGGCCAAGTCCACACGTGAATGTTATGATGGCACAGGCAGCTTGTTGACCTGTTTTGAAAACAGTGGTTGTGGATATCCACGTGATGTGATTTATTTATGTGTGTCTATTCTTTCAGATTTTAGCACTTTGCCACATAGCAGTGGGACAACAGCTAAACTTGCACTGGCTGCACAAGGTAATGCTCAAGTGTGCGATTTTTGGTGTATGTACAGTGCATTCGTAAAGTATTCAGACCCATTGACTTTTTCCACGTTTTGTTACGTTACAGCCTTATTCTAAAATGAATTAAATTGTTTTATTTGATGCTACAAGCTTGGCACACCTGTATTTGGGGAGTTTCTCCCATTCTTCTCTGGAGATCCTCTCAAGCTCTGTCAGGTTGGATGGAGAGCGTCGCTGCACCGCTATTTTCAGGTCTCTCCAGAGATGTTCGTTCGGGTTCAAGTCCGGGCACTGGCCACTCACATTCAGAGACTTGTCCCGAAGCCACTCCTGCGTTGTCTTGGCTGTGTGCTTAGGGTCGTTGTCCTGTTGGAAGTTGAACCTTTTCATCAAGGATCTCTCCGTACTTTGCTTCGTTCATCTTTGTCTCGATCCTGACTAGTCTCCCAGTCCCTGCTGCTGAAAAACATCCCCACAGCATGATGCTGCCACCACAATGCTTCACCGTAGGGATGGTGCCAGGTTTCCTCCAGACGTGACGCTTGACATCCAGGCCAAAGAGTTCAATCTTGGTTTCATCAGACCAGAGAATCTTGTTTCTCATGGTCAGAGAGTCCTTTAGGTGCCTTTTGGCAAACTCCAAGGGGGCTGTCATGTGCCTTTTATAGAGGAGTGGCTTCCGTCTGGCCACTCTACAATAAAGGCCTGATTGGTGGAGTGCTGCAGAGATGGTTGTCCTTCTGGAAGGTTCTCCCATCTCCACAGAGGAACTCTGGAGCTCTGTCAGAGTCACCTCCCTGACCAAGGTCCTTCTTCCCCGATTGCTAAGTTTGGCCGGGCGGCAATCCGGTCTCGGAGCTCTACGGACAATTCCTTCGACCTCATGGCTTGACATGCACTGTCAACTGTGGGACCTTATATAGACAGGTGTGTGCCTTTCCAAATCATGTCCAATCAATTGAATTTACCACAGGTGGACTCCAATCAAGTTGTAGAAACATCTCAAGGTTGATCAATGGAAACAGGATGCACCTGAGCTCAATTTCGAGTCTCATAGCAAAGGGTCTGAATACTTATGTAAATAAGGTTTTTCTGTTTTTCTTTTTTATACATTTGCAAAATTGTCTAAAAACCTGTTCGCTTTGTCATTATGGGGTATTGTGTGTGTGGATTGATGAGGAAAATTTTTTATTTAATCAATTTTAGAATAAGGCTGTAACGTAAACAAAGTCGAAAAAGGGAAGGGGTCTGAATACTTTCCAAATGCACTGTACGTGAGTGTTTGACTAATTGCACGTGTGTGTGTATATGGCCTGTATACTGTGTGTGTGTGTGTGTGTGTGTGTGTGTGTGTCTTCAAGTGGCCAACTGAAATCTGTGAAAGCAGTGACATCATGCCCCAGGATGCTGTTATCTGGCCAAACACACTATAGAGGGTTGGAATGTGTGTGTGCGTGCGATGGTCTGAAACACTCTCTGTTTGCCCCCATAGATAGGAGTGAGTACTGCCTTGCTGACCACTGCCATCGGATTCATATCTGTCAATCAAACATGGGGAGAAGAGTGGGCAGTCATCCCTATATCACTCCAGGTCAGTTCAACAACCCGTCCCCCTTTGGTGGCTGTGCATCATACTGTATTATACAGGACACCTTCCTGATATGTGGTTATATACTTGAAAAATCACATGTTAACAACTGTATTGAACTACATACAATGGCAACATTCAATATAGAAATGTGTCTAACAGATGTGTTATTAAGACTGAGTCAATGGGTTAATTGGTTTATTTTATTGAATTCTTTATGGTTTTAGTAATCATGCTGTAGCCTACCATAACCACTGAATTATTTTTTTGATAACTGTGAATGACTGTAGTAATGCCACACCTTTAACACTCAATGATGTCATTAATAGAATGGGTCTCCTCTGGTCCCCTGTCCAGGCCACAGGTCCCTTCCTACACCTAGGAGCTCTGGTGGCTGTCACCGCTCTGGCCTGGCTGGTGGCTGGGCAGGTCGCCCGCACAGAGAAAACAAGTAAGCCGCCCGACCAGACCCCGACTGTGTTACTGACCATGGTAGTTCTGCGCGGTATACTGAAACTTCTGTACTAGAATTTTTGTTAATTTCGGTACTTCTGTCAAATGTGTCTCACGTCATATATGGGTTGAGAGGATCGAGTCTGTTTAGTAATTTGTCTGAATCTTCTCAAGGGGGCAGTAGTAAGCTAGCCAGGTTACTTGCGCTTGCGCATGCAGCTGACACAGAACGAGCCACTTTTAAGAAGCAAGCGAAAGAGAAAATCCAGACCGCATGGCTTCTTCAAAAGAAAACATCATACCTCCACGTCCGCAGCTTGTTGACAAAACTGGCTCCAGAAGCGAACTGTGGGAATATTTTGCTTGCAGAGCAGATTAGGGCCAGCCCACCAAAACAACTAAGCAAAAGGTGTTACAAAGCAATGCAGTGCAAGGGAGGTTTAGTTCCAAAACGACATAAAAAAATTAAATATATAACTATTTTACACACGACATTTGCATTGTAACGTTGTCGTTATTCTACTAAATTTGAATTATTTTTGAGTGACAATGACGCAAACATATTGTAGTGACCCTGGTTTATAAGAACGGATATCGACTCTGCTACTCGAGCATGCTTTTGTGGCACAGTCGATGGCGCACTGGGCTTCGGGCCATAAGGTTGAGGGTTCGAACTGTGCTCCCTGCCTGTTTCATTACAATATATTCAGCATGACATTCATGTGAGTATTACAATATGATTACACAACCCAAAAGTAAGGTGAAATGCACTTATAACTTGACAGCAATATATTTAGACAACTTCACGTTTGTCTGGGCTTGCTAGCAGTAGCCACTAGCCAGCCAGCAGCCCTGGGTGGAGCATTGCACCAAGGGAAGTGAAATGCACTCTGGGAATCGTAGTATACTGTGTAAATTCCATTGTACTTCTATGGCGTGTAGACTATTGCAATATAGAAGCTTTAGAAATTAGCTTCAACGTGTTTTTTATGTCGTTTTGGAACTGAACTATTCATTTAATACATTACATTATTTAGCTGTAATGAATTATAGGTCTAATGAATGTCATTTGACCCAATATTATGGCCATAGATTAGCAAATTTACCCTTTTGTCTGCTCTGAGTCTCCGATATGGTTTTGCATAAGGAAAGTTGAAGATATTCTTCTGTTATTTAATATGGTGTTTTATTTTTTGCTAGAAATTGAATATAGAATAGAAGATATTCTATTTGTTATTTTAGTTGTTCTACCAGTTATCAACATATTGTTCAATGTTAAAAAATATATATAACCCCAGTGGTTATTCTGTGACTTTAGCTACAGTAATACACTTTCCTTTTTTTTGCCGTGGCAATGTTTCGGTATAGAGTATCCTTTTTGTATTGAGTTTCGGTATCGAGTATTATGATACAAACGTGGTATCGGTACTGAAATTTTAAAAATCTGGTATCGTGACAACACTAGACCATGTTACCGACTGTTCACCTCACTGAAGAAAGCTCAGCTACTACTGCCAGATGACTTAAAGGAAAACTCCACCAAAAAACAATATTTGGGTATTTGTTTCAATACCTTTCAAAATACAGAAATCATCCCTGTATGATGCATTTTGCATCATATGATGCTGCGTCATACAGGGATGATTTCTGTATTTTGAAAGTTACATATCTTGAAAACTTGATTGCTGACAAGCAAAACATTTTGGGACTATGTCAACAATGGACTAATGAAAGAAATACCAAAAGATAGATTTTGGGTGGAGTTTTCCTTTCACAGCCTCACAGAGCTTTATGCGTTAAATGATTAACACCATGTACACAAAGGGCAAGCCCCCTCCAGGCCCCCGTCAGGTTGGCAGGGAGACTAGGCATTCCTCTGGCCTCACGTGACACCACCAGTCTACAGGACATTATTAGGCCCCTGAGGTCTGTTAACACGGCCAGTTAGACATCAAGTACTGGGGTATTTTTGCCTTCCTTAAATCTGTCAGAGAGACTAGTACAGGGAGGCAGAGTAGTGTTTCTGACGTGCTTTGGGATCTAGATTAAATACTGAATCGTCAGTGCTGTTGTTTAACTTTCATGAATATTCAGTTGTACTTTATAGACACTCCAATTCCATTTTTTCTACTTTGCATTTGGGTAGAACAGTGGATTTTTGTGCAAGGACACAAAGCCCCAGCAGTCTGTTTACTCTCACAGTAACTCTTGCCAAAGAGTTGCATTATTAATGTGTGCTGTAATATTGCTACAATATAAAAACCCTATCATTTATTTATTATTCATTTTACCAGGCTATTCTTATTTAAATACAGTATACAGTGCATTTGGAAAGTATTCAGACCCCTTGACTTTTTGCACATTTTGTTACATTACAGCCTTATTCTAAAATTGATTACATTAGTTTTTTTCCTCATCAATCTACACACAATACCCCATAATGACAAAGTAAAAACAGGTTTTTAGAAATTTTAGCAAATGTATTAAAATATAAAAAACAGGAGTACCTTATTACACAAGTATTCAGACCCTTTTCTATGAGACTCGAAATTGAACTCGGGTGCATCCTGTTTCCATTGATCATCCTTGAGATGTTTCTACAACTTGATTGTAGTCCACCTGTGGTAGATTCAATTGACTGGACATGATTTGGAAAGGCACACACCTGTCTATATAAAGTCCCACAGTTTACAGTGCATATCAGAGCAAAAACCAAGCCGTGAGGTCGAAGGAATTGTCCGTAGAGCTCCGAGACAGGATTGTGTCAAGGCACAGATCTGGGGAAGGGTACCAAAACATTTCTGCAGCATTGAAGGTCTCCAAGAACACAGTGACCTCCATCATTCTTAAATGAAGAAGTTTGAATCCACCAAGACTCTTCCTGGAGCTGGCCGCCCAGCCAAACTGAGCAATCGGGGGAGAAGGTCCTTGGTCAGGGAGGTGACCAAGAACCTGATGGTCACTCTGACAGAGTTCCTCTGTGGAGATGGGAGAAGGACAACCATCTCTGCAGCACTCCACCAATCAGGCCTTTATGGTAGAGTGGCCAGACGGAAGCCACTCCTCAGTAAAAGGCACATGACAGCCCGCTTGGAGTTTGCCAAAAGGCACCTAAAGGACTCTCAGACCATGAGAAACAAGATGGTCTGATGAAACCAAGATTGAACAGATTTGGCCTGAATGCCATGCGGCACGTCTGGAGGAAACCTGGCACCATCCCTATGGTGAAGCATGGTGGTGGCAGCATCATGCTGTGGGGATGTTTTTCAGTGGCAGGGACTGGGAGACTAGTCAGGATCGAGGGAAAGATGAACAGAGCAAAGTACAGAGAGATCCTTGATGAAAACCTGCTCCAGAGCGCTCAGGACCTCAGACTGGGGCGAAGGTTCACCTTCCAACAGGACAACGACCCTAAGCACACCGTCAAGACAACACAGGAGTGGCTTCGGGACAAGTCTCTGAATGTCCTTAAGGATCCCAGCCAGAGCCCGGACTTGATCCTGATCGAACATCTCTGGAGAGACCTGAAAATAGCTGTGCAGCAACGCTCCCCATCCAACCTGACAGAGCTTGAGAGGATCTGCAGAGAAGAATGGAAGAAACTCCCCAAATACAGGTGTACCAAGCTTGTATTGTCATACCCAAGAAGTCTCGAGGCTGTAATCGCTGCCAAAGGTGCTTCAACAAAGTACAGAGTAAAGGGTCTGAATACTTATGTAAATGTGATATTTCAGTTTTGTTTATTTAATACATTTCCCAAAATTTCTAAAAACCTGTTTTTGCTTTGTCATTATGGGGTATTGTGCGTAGATTGATGAGAAAAAATATATATTTAATCAATTTTAGAATAAGGCTGTAACATAACAAAATGTGGAAAAAGTCAAAAGGTCTGAATTCTTTCCGAATGCACTGTATGTCTCTTTAACAAATAAAATCTATTTCAGTGTAGCAGACATTAGCCTGTGGTCTAGCGGTGGCTTACAGAGGTCAATAGGTCCTAGACGTGAGGTTAGCTGTGTAGCTAGCTGGCGGACCTCTGTGTGAATGCCAGAGAGGTTCTGAGGGCAGAGGGTGAAGGCTTTCAGCCTTGTGTCTGTAACGAGAGTTCTTCTGACGCAGTCGATCTGGCCTAAGCACTGACCTTGAAATGAATCCGACCTCCTGTGTCAGTGATGTACTCTAGCTACATTCATCATCACTTACCTGCAGTACAGCACACAGAGATGGAACAGGAGAAAGTGTGGCTAGAGGCTGGCTGGCTTTGACATCGTATATATCTCAACCCAAACTGGCCACGTAAAATGTTTAGAAACATTTAGTGAATGGTCTTCTTGCCCATAGAGAAGCTACATTCAGATGTGCTATTTATTTCTGTCCTTGACCATCTCAGTACAATAGACATCCGTGACAAGAGCAAAAAAGTCCATTTGGCCATAGCTATTCTATATACTTAGGTATTTTATTCATTCTATGTTGTGTTCTACCCCCTCCCCAGGGTTTCTGTGCATTCTACATCCATGTTGTTCTACCCCCTCACCAGGGTTTCTATTAATTCTACATCCATATTGTGTTCTACCCCCTCCCCAGGGTTTCTATTCATTCTATATCTATGTTGTGTTCTACCCCTCCCCAGGGTTTCTGTTCATTCTACATCCATGTTGTTCTACCCCCACCCCAGGGTTTCTATTCATTCTATATATATGTTCTACCCCCACCCCAGGGTTTCTATTCATTCTATATCTATGTTCTACCCCCTCCCCAGGGTTTCTGTTCATTCTATATCTATGTTGTGTTCTATCCCCTCCCCAGGGTTTCTGTTCATTCTACATCCATGTTGTGTTCTACCCCCTGCCCAGGGTTCCAGGTGGTGGTTCTCCTGCTCTACCTGAGTGTTCTACTAGGCCTCTACATGGCCCCCCTCTCCATCACCTCCCCCTGCATCATGGACCACGCCAACCTCACACCACGCCCTGACGTCATTGGCCACCAGGGCGCCCCCATGGTGAGTCAGCTGAACCAGCTGCCCAATCAGAGGACTTGTAGGGGGAGGCACCTCCTACGCTATGCTTATAGAGGATACAATAACAGACCCATAGAGATGTAACCTTCATAGAGGGCACTAGAGAAACCATGCTGGCCAACAGTTTATCTTCATATTTCCACCCACTCACTTCCTTCATACCACCTAGGGCTATTCTAGTGTATTAATGACATGTAACCAACCCTACCAGTCAAAGTCTGGACAGGTTTTTCTTTATTTTTTACTATTTGTTACATTATAGAATAATAGTGAATACATCAAAACTATAAAATAACACATATGGAATCATGTGGTAACCAAAAAATGTTAAACAAATCAAAATATATTTTATATTTGAGATTCTTCAAATAGCCACCATTTGCCTTGATGACAGCTTTGCACACTCAAGTAAAACAATGTGGAGGAATTAACAGTCTTAAAGACCTGAGAACTCCCCCAGGACATGCCACATGTCCCACTCTGTTTCCCAGCAGCACTTTACATTGATTTTCCCAGGCCTCCAGTCCAGTCCCCTCACAGTTTTACAGACAGTTTGACCTACAGTATCACTGACCGTTATCAGTTTGACCCATGTGGCCTGGTGTCGTGTATTGCACCAGTTAGTATATGTTCAATAGTCTGTTGTTTATCAAGCATGTGAGCTCATAACCCATGACTTTTAACTGGAATCCATTCTCCAAGTTTCCTCATACCCATTTAAAGGGAAATTTAAAAAAATGTAAACTTCATATTCATCATCCAGCAGCACCCCAACAACATACTATCTGAAAATGGTGCATTTCAAAGGAGTATTAGACTTCTGAAACCTATATGAAACTGTGAACTCTCAGATTGCAGTAAGGTATATGAACCTCTCTGACCTCCATGAAACATCAATATGATGTATGTCTAGACGGTGTACTGATGATGTTCCTCTCCGTCCATCTGTCTGTCTGTAGCTGGCCCCAGAGAACACCATCCTGTCCTTCCAGAGGGCTCTGCAGATGAACGTCAGTGGGCTGGAGGCTGACGTGGCCATCAGGTACACACTTACACACCGAAAAAGACTCACAATGAAGCCAAACTAGATCAATAGGGAGCTGCAGCGAGAGACCGCAAGAAGTCAAGTATGTTGTGGTTGATGGAGGAGTCCAGCCAAGCACAGGTCATCCAATGTCATGCTGCTGGTCTGGGCCTCCTGTCCAGGGTTCGGGCCCTTATTAGCAGCAGTAGTAGTAGTGGTGGTGGTGGCAGCGGTGTTGGTGGTGGTGGTGGTGGCAGTAGTAGCAGTTTTAGTAGTAGTAGCAGCGTTAGTAGTAGTAGCTGCGCTAGTAGTAGTAGTAGTAGTAGTAGTAGTAGTAGTAGCAGCGCTAGTAGTAGTAGCAGCGCTAGTAGTAGTAGCAGCGCTAGTAGTAGTAGCAGTTTTAGTAGCAGCAGTAGTAGTAGCAGTTTTAGCATTTTAGCAGCGGTAGTATAGCAGCAGTTTTAGCAGTAGTAGTAGCAGCAGTTTTTTAGTAGTAGTAGCAGCAGTTTTAGCAGTAGTAGTAGTAGCAGCAGTTTTAGTAGTAGTAGCAGTAGTAGTAGCAGTTTTAGCATTTTAGCAGCGGTAGTATAGCAGCAGTTTTAGCAGTAGTAGTAGCAGCAGTTTTAGTAGTAGTAGTAGCAGTTTTAGTAGTAGTAGCAGCAGTTTTAGCAGTAGTAGTAGCAGTAGCAGCAGTTTTAGTAGTAGTAGAAGTTTTAGTAGTAGTAGCAGAGGTTTTAGCAGCAGCAGCCAGGACAGCACTTTCATAGACCCATTGCTGATGACAAGATGAGCTAGAAGAGCAAATCCAATAGAGAGGAGGTGTTTGTGAATGAGTTGGATGCAGTGTGCGTGTGTGTGCATGCGCGCATAGATGTATGCATACAGGTACATGTGTGCTGTGTCTGTCGGTGTGCTTTTCATTTTGTGCCATGTTTATGAATGTGTGATTGTATCTGTATGGAGCCACGTGTGTTTCTGTCTGTATGTGCCTTTGTGTTCATGAAAGCTCATTTAGCGTGTGTTTACACTCCTCCACTCTCTCTGGTCCCTGTGCGGCCCTAAATAAGATGAATGGGAGGGGGAGACGTGTGTGCTGATGACAGGTGGGCTGGGCTCTGGGCTGCACTGAGCTCATGGTGGAGCTGACTAATGAAACCTAAACGGGCCTGGGCCAGGCTCTATACATCCGCCTGACCAGAGACACAGCAGAGCTATGCACGCGTGTACACACACACACACACACAGACTCGCACACGCACAAATATTTGCGCACACACACACACACATCCGAAAGGACAGAGGTCATTCAGGCACTAATTGAACATTTCAGTGACACTAAATGGTCACTAGAAACGATGAGGTATGATAGACATAAGCTACATTATGTTTTTGGTCCGATTTAGTTGCTTGCTTGGGATGGAATCTTACGAAACTGTTGCGATTCTAGTTTTGAATTTGACGAACAATTCCAAGTGAAGGTAATGTGTTGTTGTTTTCCATGTCGTACAACCTGAGGTTAACTGAAAAGGTGGGGAAATGATTTGGCATTCAAAGTGAAGGTGAAGCAAGTAACATGAAAGTAGCTTTCATGTAAAGTGACTTTTGCCTCAAACAACTCTAGTCTGTTCCTGTCATGATTGAAGTGTTTTGGGGATTCCCTAGAGAGCATTCAGTATTTATGTTGTAAGAATTTCCACTTAGAACCACAAAATATCAGGGGATATAAAAATCTGTGAGATTCTGAGAAATAAGATGATCATATGATGTTGAAAAAAACTGTACGGCACTGAATATACTATTGTATTAGTAGACCTGACTGTTTAACTCTTTCCTGTCCTAGCCTTGACGGGATACCATTTCTGATGCGAGACCGCACCTTGAGGAGGACTACAGATGTGGGGAAGGTGTTTCCATCCAGACAGCTGGATGATGCCTCCTCCTTCAACTGGACAGACTTACACAGCCTCAACGCCGGCCAGTGGTTCCTCAAGGTACCACAATATTACTCACAACCCCGCTAGGGAGGAATGGCTCTGTCACACCCCCGCTAGGGAGGAATGGTTCTGTCACACCCCCGCTAGGGAGGAATGGTACTGTCTGTCACACCCCCGCTAGGGAGGAATGGTACTGTCTGTCACACCCCCCGCTAGGGAGGAATGGTACTGTCTGTCACACCCCCCTCTAGGGAGGAATGGTATACTCTTATGCCATCTTTCTCTCTCTGAAGGTTTCTAATGAAATGTATTCATGCAGTAAATGTGCTGTATCTTTGTAGGACCTCACACCACCCTTTCTTTCACTAGGCCTATATTTCTCCTCCATGCTTTGGGTCCATTTCATTGCCACTCGGCTGATAGGAAATCTCATTAATGAAGTGGAGAAAGTGCCCAATTTTATCAATCAAGATTACTTCCCTGGATTGAGTTCAAATAGAATTGACCTAAACCCTGATCTCATCTCTCATCATAAAGTGGTGTATTATTACGATTGCCATATAAACGTAGAAATACACTAAATTGATCAGATTGACTGTGAGTACCTGTGTGCGTTCTCCTATAGGACGACCCCTTCTGGACGGTCCAGTCCATGGCTCATAGGGAGGTGATGCTGGTGGGGAACCAGAGTGTGTGTAGTCTGGAGCAGCTGCTGAGGCTAGCCACCCCACATAACCACACAGTGGTGTTCAACCTTCGCCGACCTCCGCACGGACACCCCTGCTACCACAGCTGGATCAACGATACCCTGGAGGTCATACGCCTGTCTGGGATTCCACAGCACCTGGTGAGACAGGCATCACACACTGTTGGGGTATAGAATGAGGAAGACAACACTAGTGTACCCGGCTGAGATAGTGGTCCTTTGATGGATTGTAAGTCGCTTTGGATAAAAGCGTCTGCTAAATGGCATATCATATTATTATATTAGATAGTGGACAGAACCTTGTTAGGACTCAGACACTGTCCCCTTGGGTTATCTAGGGAAATCAAGAGGAGGAAAACACTGCTCATAGTGGAGAGAGGGAACTGACTACTGTCAGCTTGAGGCTGACCTGAAGATTGCCTGTGACATCCATCAATGTCACCAATGTAATAATCATTACTCTGTCATCACTGATGTCACTAACTGCACATCTACATCCATGTCCCATAAGTAATCTGAGCTGTGTGTGTGTGCAGGTGATGTGGACCCCAGACTGGGACAGGGGGCAGGTAAGACAGGTGGCTCCAGGGCTTCAGCAGACATCAGTAGAGAAGCTGCCTCCTCAGGTCCTTCACCAGCAGGGAATCAGCAGACTGCTGCTACGTTACAGCCAGGCCAGTCCCTATGACATCCGGTGGGTTAACACACACACACATACATACATACACTGTGTGTGCTTCTTCTGTATATGTGTGTCTGAAATATGAATGTGTCTGTCTTCACCCCCCAGAGAGTTCTCCAGGAGCAACGTGAGTGTGACTCTGTACACGGTCAACGAGCCCTGGCTGTTCTCTGTGCTCTGGTGCAGCGGCGTCTCCTCTGTCTCCTCTGAAGCCCCCAACATCCTCAAAAAGGTGCCTTACCCCATCTGGCTCATGGTAAGTCCCTCACAGCACCCCCCTACTACCCACACCATTACCCCCACAGCACCCCCCACAGCACCCACACCATTACCCCCACAGCACTTCCTAGAACCCACACCATTACACCCACAGCACCCACACCATTACCCCCACAGCACCCCCCTAGCAACCACACCATTACCCCTACTACCCACACCATTACCCCCACAGTACCCCCCTACTACCCACAATATTACCCCCACAGTACCCACAACATTACCCCACAGCACCCACACCCACACCATTACCCCCCTCTAGTACCCACACCATTACACCCCTAGCACCCACACTGCCCCAGGCCCTCCTGGCACCCCTCTCTGGGTTAGCAGACTCCCAGCAGGGAACACTATGGGTGGTGCAGACTAGAATATAGAGCCCATCCTGGGTGAGGTTCACATGGAGTTCAAGCTAGCACTGCATCTCTGTTACCCACCCTGTCTGTCTGTTAGCTAGTCAATATGGCCACTACTACACTGGTAGTATGGGATCTAGGTCTATGTGGAACTTCATTAAATTGTCCTTTCACTCCTAGTTACATTATTCTGACTAGAGTATTATTTTGTTATTGTCCATCTCTAACTTGGAGCACCTTTTGAATATCTAGTCCATTATGCATTACACATTACTTACTGTACCACAATATTATATTAATTTCAATGTTACATAATTTTAGGAAGGCATGCTTTGTTCTAGGTTTGTTGCTACCTGCCGTTGTTTTAGGAGACAGTGCCACCTGGTGGTCTAATGCTGCCATGTGTTTCAGAGTCCAGATGAATACTGTCTGATCTGGGTCGCCGCTGATCTCATCTCCTTCACTGTAGTAATAGGTATCTTTGTATTCCAAAAGTAAGTACTCCTTTTTTTAAATATATATATATATATATATATATATATATAATTTTTTGGTACTTCTTACCCAATTTTGTGATATCCACTTGGTAGTTAGTCTTGTCCCATCACTGCAACTTCTGTATGGAAGCGAAGGTCGAGAGCCATGCGTTCTCCGAATCACAACCCCGGCAAGACGCACTGCTTCTTGACGCACTGCTTCTTGACACACTGCTTCTTGACACACTGCTTCTTGACACACTGCTTGCTTAACCCGGAAGCCAGCCGCACCAATATGTCGGAGGAAACACCGTACAGCAGGCAACCGAAGCCAGCGTGCATGCGCCCGGCCACCACAAGGAGTCGCTAGAGCGCGATGGGACAAGGACATCCCAGCCGGCCAAACCCTCCCCTAACCCGGATGACGCTGGGCCAATTATGTGCCGCCTCATGGGTCTCCCGGTCAGCTGGGGCTTAGTGTACAATGCATAATAATGATATCTGCCATTTAGCAGACGGTTTTATCCAAAGCAACTTATAGTCATGCGTGCATACATTTATTACGGATGGGGTGGTCCTGGGATTCGAACCACTATCCTGGCTTTGCAAGAGCCATGCTCTACCAACTGAGCTACAGAGGACCAGCAGGCTCCATGTACAGCAGGCTCCTGTCTGTTGTAAAGCACACATTACCGTTATATTGCATTAATTAGGGTTTCCCCAAGGGAAGATTAACCATGATTTTTTTTCAAGGTCATTGTTGATCTTCGACAGTGAATCTACTACAGTGTTTCTACACCCCCGTCCCTCAATTACCTTCAGTGAATGGCAAGAGTCCCTTAGCAGAGGAATACCATCCAGCCAATGTGAATAAAATTGTATAGTGGGTATTGACAGGCCATTTTCCAGCAAGTGTGTTAAAACACAGGGAGAGGTGAAACACTAGTTATTTGATAAAGCTAATTTACAATGCCAACACCTTGGCTTGGAGAATCAGCTGGAGAAGTATCTCTCGTCAACCAAACAATGTTTCACCTTACAGTTTTTGCAGAAAGTATGCTTCCTTGAATCTTCTGAAAGACTATGGGAAGCTGCTAAAAGGAATTTCACCTTCCTTCCTGAGCCATAATGCTGTTGTGGGATGGAGGACAGCAGAGCAAGGTCTCCATCCTTATTGTGTGGGGTTTGCTATGCTTAGCGAAGTGCTGGCCGCTGCTGGCTTCTAAACTGACCTCTTTTAATCTCTCCGCCTTCTTTTCTCCTTTTTCTCTTCCTCCTTTTTCTTCTTCCTCCTCTCCTCTGCCTGATGTGCATGCTCCTCCTCTCTGCTGCATTCTGGCATCTGTCAGCTATCACATTATCAGGTAACTGGGTCAACTCTGACCCACGATGCTTTTCCTTTTTCTCTCTTTCTTCCTCTCTCTCCATTTCCTTTTATTTATATCTCTGTGTAGCCAATATCTCATTATCATTTAATCCTTTCTTTCTATGGACGTCATCGTTTAAATCTTAGATCTCTCTGTCTATTCCTCTCACCTGTATCGTTGTTGTATTTCACTGCTACCACTTCTCGTCCTCCCCACTAGAGGGGAGTATAAAGTAAATACAAGCAAGCCTACCACTATTGGCCTTTAAGTGGCAGACAGCAATGCTTTCTCCCACACAGCACAAATGCTTGTGTTGACTTTATCCCGCTTGAGTTTTACTGTTAACATTATTGACCGAATGACAAAGTCTACAAATTAATTCTAGAAATGTATTAGAAGGAAGCGCTCATTTTCATTTATGGTGTTGATTTGGACAAAAGCTCTGCTGTTTTTTTTTTTAAGTGCATTGATGCATTAGCCAAGACACAATATTGCTAATGTAATCATTTGATTTACATGCCTCTATTTGTTAATTACAATAGACAAATTAATTGCTGAAGTAAATCTTCTTGCCTCAAATGTTACTCCAGTTGTGATGCTCAAACACCACTGGGTTTATATATATCATTAGTTAAGTAAAAATACTTTAAAGTACTACTTAAGTAGTTTTTCTTGGGTATCTGTACTTTACTTTACTATTTATATTTCGGACAACTTTCACTTTTACTCCACTACATTCATAAAGAAAATAATGTACTTTTTACTCCATACATTTTCCCTGACACCCAAAAGTACTCGTTACATTTTGAATGCTTAGCAGGACAGGAAAATTGTCCAATTCACACACTTATCAAGAGAAAATCACTGGTCATCCCTACTGCATCTGATCTGGTGGACTCACTAAACACAAATGCATCATTTGTTAATTAGTGTTGGTGTGCTCCTGGCTATCCGTACAATTTAAAAAATGCTTTCTGGTTTGCTTAGTATAAGGAATTTGAAATGATTTATACTTTTACTTTTGATACTTAAGTATATTTTAGCAATGACATTTGCTTTTGATACTTAAGTATACTTAAGTAGTATTTTACTGGGTGACTTTCACTTTTACTTGAGTCATTTTCTATTAAGGTATCTTTACTTTTAATCAAGTATGACAATTGGGTACTTTTTCCACCACTGTATGTATTGGCCATTGAGAAGCATTGAAGCCACCGGTCAGCCATATTGGCACTCCCTAGTAGGAGCAGTCTTCCATGAGAATGAATGAAATTCTACTGTATTTCAGTTAAATGTGATCAAGGACAAAATTACATGTATTTAAGTATTTTGTTGTAGTGGGGACAAGAAGATTAGTAATCAAAACAAATTAAACATTAAGGAATTTCTTATTTGTATGTTTAGCTCACATAATATATTGTAAAATTATGTATTAAGGTGTCTGTAATAGAATAAATGGGGCAAAAACGAATGTACATTAATAAAGGCATTTCTATAGCTTCCCCACCATTGTAGAACATATTTTGGGAGTGCCAGGATGGAGGCACGGTGGCTTCAACACAGCACCCCCCATCAGTCATCTAGTGTATATATAAATCATTGGTCACAACTAGTCAGTAACTGATAAGTATGAGCTTTCAGAGAAGTGGAGATGTCTTTGGCTCAGACTCTGTTCTATTTGTACATGTCCTTGTAGATGCATGTGTGCATACATCATTTGATTAATTCAGTACAGCAACCAACTTCAATATTTGTCTGTTTGCTTGGTGTCGTTTTGAGGTCAGCCAAATAGAAGTAGAAAACTGAGGCAAAATGGTGCCCAGTGCCCACACATGTTGACCTAGCTATCGCCAAGCAAAATGGCTGACACATTTTGACATGCCGTTAGCTCCATATAGGACAGGTCCTTGAGAGCAGAGGCAGCAGTACTGTGGTATGACCAGAGGCTCTATATCAGGCCTCTCCAACCCTGTTCCTGGAGAGCTACCCTCCTGTAGGTTTTCTACCCTGATTCAGCTTATCAACCAGCTAATTATTATAATCCGGTGCGCAACAATAGGGTTGGAGCGAATACCTACAGGATTGTAGCTCTCCGGGAACAGGGTTGGAGAGCCCTGCTCTATATGATGCCCTGACCTCTGTGTGACCTTTCCTCTCTAGGTGGAGGTTGAGTGGCATGCGCAGCTACAACCCTGAACAGATCATGCTGAGTGCCGCAGTCCGGAGGTCCAGCAGAGACGTCAACATCATGAAGGAGAAACTAATCTTCTCCGGTAAGGAAGGACCCCACAGAGAGGAGAGCTGGACGTCCTGTGTCTACTGGATTGTGTGTTGGTGTTTGTTTCTCTGGCTGTGTCCCAGTACTCTGAAATGGCTTCCTCTCTTCTCCTTATTTATTTATCACTGATCTGATGACATTGGATAGATGAAGTTGATGCCCGGTTGTTTTGGCCAGCCATATTGCTTTCACCTATTAATCAGTGGTCACAGAAAAGGAGACAAGGGAAGGCAGCCATTTTAGGAGTATCTGGGGATGCCAGTGTGTGACCCTATCCCAGCATGCATGTCTCTGAGTGTTTGTGATGTAATTGTCCTCCCCAAGGTCAACCGCAGTAGTGTGTGTGAACTGCACTCCTCTCCACCTCCAATCCTCTTCATCCTGCCATCTCTCCATCCTCCTCCGGCTGCTGTGACCATTCCTTCGACCATTCTATCCCTCCCTTCCCCCCCTCTCCTCCCCAATCGCCCACCAGAGTCCTGCGTCGTGTATAAGGGCTCCTAGACAGCCCACTGTGACCCACCAGCCTCTCCTGGTGGGTGGTGAAAGGTAAGTCTAATGATGATGCTGATGAGGGTCTTCAATGACCATCAGTCAGTCCAAACCACTCTAGAATCACACTAGTAGGTCTTAGAAGAGATACGTGGTGACACACAGAGCGAAGGAAGCTAAGGGATTTCTCTGGTGTTGGTTTGGATATGATGTTGCAGTGATATTGTTTTGGATGTTGTGCGTATTCAATGTGCATTGATGTGGTCTGTGTTGTATCAGTGAAATACCCTGTGAACACCTACTGATGTCCCTTCACCCTTCTTCCTCCCAGAGGTGAGCAATGGTGTGGGCAGTGCTGAGGACCTGTACATGGAGAATGGCTTCGACTACTACAACAACGAAGGCATCTGCCATTGACTCTCTCTCCTAATGTGAATCTACTGAAAGACACCCGACTCTACTAGCATGTGGAAACTGAGTAAATGAAGACTTCCAAGTGACTGTCTTGTGATTGGCTTGTCTGTTCTGATTACTCTTGTTTTACTCAGTGCATCCAGATAGTTTTTGGTTTGTTCCTCCGAACTACTGACTGATTGATTGATTGATTGATTGATTGATTGACAGGCTGCTGTATTGCTGAAGAATCCCAGGCAAGCACCACCCATTGCTTTGTACATTCTGTAAATAGGTTTGTTTTTGCTTGTTATATACAATGTGGGACTAAAAGCACTTTTTATTGATGAACCAATTGATTCGTCAGATCTGTGGCCTCTTCTCCTTACCTCTAGATCAGGGGTGGGTAAACCTCTTGGCTCGAGGTCCACAACGGGATTTCGAAATTCAATGGAGGGCTGCACATTTTTTTATGTTTATTTTTTTCATTTGTTTGTCAAAATCAATTTGCTGGCCAGAAAAATGCCATTTTATTTCAAAATATATTGGTCCATTATATATAGTTTTTTACTCAAACCTCCTGTGGGCTGGGATTGAATGGGCTCATGGGAGCCGGATCTGGCCCACGGGCCGTAGTTTGCCCAGCCCTACTATAGATCCTTTGGAGCCCCCCCCAGTTACCAATGCTTGTTTATTATTAAGAACCTATTTGTTTGTTTCTACACTGTTCTTTTCTTGCTGTCACTTTATAGCACAGCCAATTCTTAGTTATATAGAGGAATTACTACTTGTGCAGCATTGCAACTTTTTCTTGCCTTCTTTGGGCGCTATTGTACTTTTTTGGAACAAAAACAACATGAACAAGCTGTTTACAGAGGTCCTGCCTTCTCCGACTGAGTGAAATATTTACATCATGTAAGATAATGATTTGAATAGATGTTTTGAACAACATTTCCTTCATCCATGCATGTGATATACAATATCAAGTGACTTCATATGAGCTGTGCTGTCTCGGGCAGGGCTTGTGTTCAGGCAGAACTGATGTCTACTGGATGTGGTTTTGTAATGTTTTCGGTTCATTGTGAATGTGTTTTGATTTTTAAAGGATGCGTACAGTGCACTGTGTATTATGGCAGTAGAGATTTCACCCCCTACCCCTAGTGTGCAGTTCTACATGGAGTGTGTACATATTACAAACGATTTATATGCTATGGCTGGCTGAGCATTATATTGGAAATGTGATCCTGATTATGCATAATAATAGCTATAGTGTTGAGAAGTTTATGAAAGTCAGTCATTTAAATATTTTGCCGACCAACTTCTCAATGGCAATTGAACTCATGATGGTGTTTGAAAAGCAAAGTGCATCATATATGGTGATATTAAAGGGTATCTTTTATGTTGTGATGAAGTGGGGTGTGTTATATTAACTGTGAAAATAAAGCTCTAGGCTGTTGAAGGGACGACGCTGAGTATCAGAATAGTTCACACAGGGTCAAGGAATGGATTGACTTGTGTTCATTTACTCCTTTTGGTATTTGTGTGCCTCAGAAGTCAACATTAAAATGCTTCTGATACCAAAGTGATATCCTTTTTGTGATTTTTTTGTGCAGAGTATTTTCTAGATAGAAGATAACTGTAACAAACCATTTAGGTTGGTGTTTACTGTGTAGATTTAGCTCATGTCAACCATATTCCTACTGTATGTGAATGCTTGATGTACAGTGCCTTCAAAGTATTCACACCCCCTGACTTTAAAATTGATTAAATTGATTGTCACTGGCCTGCACGCAATACCCCATAATGTCAAAGTGGAATTATGTTCTTAGACATTTTTACAAATGTAATTAAAAATGAAAAGCTGAAATGTCTTGAGTCAATATGATATGGCAAGCCTAAATAAGTTCGAGTAAAAAGTGCTTAACAAGTCACATACGTTGCATAGACTCAATCCAGGTATGCAAAGCTCTTAGACTTACCCAGAAAGACTCATCTTTAATCGCTGCCAAAGGTGATTCTAACAAGTATTGACTCAGGGGTGTGAATACTTAGGTAAATTAGATATTTCTGCATTTCATTTTCAATAAATGTACATACATTTCAAAAAACATTTTCACTTTGTCATGGGGTAGTGGGTGTGTAGTTGGGTGAGGGAAAAAAACATTTAATCCATTTTGAATTCCAGCTGTAACACAAAATGTGGAATAAGTCAAGGGGTATGAATACTTTCTGAAGGCACTGTATGTTCTATGCAGTAGCACATACCAGTAACTAACACCATTGTGGATCTCTGTTTATACTGATGTTTTTCCCTCTGAATTGTAAAGTTACGCGGCAAGATGTTACCACATTGCTGAAGAAGCTAGTGAGTGATGATGGTAAATGCAATTTGCAAGATTTTATCAGTCTGTGCTGGGAACATCACAAATATCCTTTAAATTGTTTTCACCTGTACTAGAAAGTCAGTCTTTCATAGAATGCAGACGGCAAGATGCATCTGTATGTTGATATTTTCCCTTACAGCAATGGCAATCTCTGTTGGGTCGTGAACTATGTTTTAATGGATTTGTATGTGTATTAAAGCTGGCTTTAATTTTGTTCGCTGCTCTATAAAATCCCTCATAGAAAAATACAATTTCACTGCAGAACTTCAATGGTATTTTGGGAAATTCCGGATGTATTTTTTAAAGCAGCATTTAGTACAAGCAGATATCTACGGGGGGCATATGAGAGGGGTGATTTGAAGAATAAGCAAAACTTGAGGTACAAAAATATCTTAAGTTACATACTCAAATGGAAAGGTTCAGAAAAATTCCTATAGCATATCGCTATAGAGAACAATGCAATCAGTACAGTATGTAAGGCACGTTCAACAAGGAATGCATTCAAACTGTTTACCTTGTTGAACGAACTTCTAAAAGGCATACAGTATTTCAATCTTTCCACTATCAGTCCTGACTAGACTGGTATTTTGGAATGTACATTCTATACATGAATTGACTAATCGTTGTAAATTATCAACCAACATGTTTGTTCTCTAATTCCAGGGGCTCTAACAGCCTCAACTATTACTGTCCACCCACGGTAACACATTAACAGGCACCATAAGCCTAGTCGCTTCTTTTTATGGCACTTACAATAAGTACTTCTGTATATAGAAGTACTATAAGTGTCAGCCAGTGTACTCTATGATTCAGAATGATGACGCTGGCTAACAAGTTATATAGTTTTCAAAGTGGAATACTTAGCATGTCCCTTATTTTGACAATTACTTAATCAGTTAACCCATACAAAACTGACATCTCACAAAGCTGAGCATAGGCTACTGCTTGAACGTAAAGCTAGTAACAATATGTGCAAAAATATTTGGTCCGAAACTCTAATAGAATACTGCCTTAGTCAATAGAATGACTCCCTAAAGGACTGGTGGTTCTTCATATCAGGTGACTTCAAAGCACAGAGCCTAATAGTACAGTTCTACACGACCACAGCAGCTCTCTGAAAAGGCACAAGCACGTTGTGTCATCAACTGAAAAACAAATACACCTTGTACAGTAAACCCCCTCCACTCACAGTACAAACACTAGAAATAAATAAATAAATAAATAGCTGAAGGTGTCTTGGCTGGTCACAGTTCTCTAGAAATAAAGGTTGTTCCCATGAATTGAACACCATTTTCAACCTACTACAGTTGGTCTAATAAATTGGGATGGCAGTTCAAAAGTGATTGTGTAATTTGAGTTTCTCTGTGAATATATTCCAGTGGCTATTATTACAGCTGAAGAAGATAATATTTTAACCTCATGATACTATTGCACACCTGGTGAAGATGGAGAAGGACAATTAACAGTTAAAAATGCAGACCATCCTTTAATATGGCAAGTATCTGTCTGGTGGCATCCTTGTGTCCCTTGCTACCTCTAGACTAGATCAATTGAAGTTGGTCTTGCGGAGGTGTCTGTTGGGGATCTCTATAGCGCTGACCTGTAGGGGCCAGGAGCCGCCCATGATGCCAGCCTGGATGGCCACCCCGGTCACCACTGCCAAGTCTGGGTCCACCGAGGTGTTGGGCTCCTTCCCAAAGTACTCACTGATCAGCTTCCTGATCCTAGGGATGCGGGTGGAGCCTCCCACCAGAACTATCTCATCCACTTCCTCCTTCCCCAGGTGGCCCTCGGCCAGCACTGTCTCTACAGGCGCCAGAATCTTCTGGAAGAGGTCGGCGTTCAACTCTTCAAACAGCTCACGGGTGATGACTGCTTGGAAGATGACTGGGATTGGGTCCTTGGCGGGCCCCTGTGGTGGTTGCTTGGGGTCCCCTTGGGGCTCCAGGTGCAGGGGTACCCTGAGGTGGGCGCTGGGCTGCAGGGTGAGGTTAAGCTTGGCAGCCTCCACTGCCTGGCGGAGGCGGTGGATGTCCTCTTTGAGGGTGGGGGGAATGCCGTACTGTAGGTGGACCCTCTCCATGGTGTACTGGAGCAGCCTCTGGCTGAAGTCCTGTCCCCCCAGCTTGTTGTTACCTAGGAAACGAGGACACAACAGCAAGGATAATTCTCTGAGCCCAAGAATAATATCTGTTAGTGTTGTATTGAGGTTAATTTCAAGTCATTATCATGTACTGTCTGGTTTGAATTAGTTGTGCCAATTGGAAATGGTCCTCTTTAACTACAATATGGCAAATGTTCCACTTGTACTGTATGCCCAATTTAATTCCAGAAGATAAATGAAAATGACACCAACTAAACCATGCGTATCTACAACATGATAAGGAGTTGAGAGTCGATTAGAGTCTTACCTGCCATGGCTCTGGTGAGGAACATGCCCCCCTGTTTGTTGAGCAGAGAGACGTCCAGCGTTCCTCCTCCCAGGTCTACCACCAGCACGTTGAACACATCCACCTTGTGTAACCCGTACGCCATCGCTGCAGCTGTGGGCTCGTTGATCACACGCAGGATGTCCAGTCCTGAGTGGTGTAAACAGAACAATCAGATGTTAGTTACAGTGGGTAGTGTATATTTGGTCAAAGCCCTTAGGAATCTTAATGTCTTTGGATTAGGTGTCCAATATTCTACTCTGTGTGTATGCATCCATCAGTGCATTCGGAAAGTATTCAGACCCCTTCACTTTTTCCACATTGTTACGTTACAGCCTTATTCTAAAATTGATTAAATTGTTTTTTTCCCTCATCACTCACTCATACAATACCCCATAATGACAAAGCAAATACGGGTTTTGAAATGTTTCATAATTTATTAAAAATAAATCAAAACTGAAATATTACATTTACATAAGTATTTCAGACCATTTACTCAGTACTTTGCTGAAGCACCTTTGGCAGCCTAGAGTCTTCTTGGGTATGATGCTACAAGCTTGGCACAACTGTATTTGGGGAGTTTCTATTCTTCTCTGCATATCCTCTCAAGCTTTGTCAGGTTGGATGGAGAGCGTCGCTGCACAGCTATTTTCAGGTCTCTCCAGAGATGTTAGATCGGGTTAAATTCCAGGCTCTGGCTGGGCCACTCAAGGACATTGAAACTTGTCCCGAAGCCACTCCTGCATTGTCTTGGCTGTGTGCTTAGGGTGTTTGTCCTGTTGGAAGGTGAACCTTCGCCCCAGTCTGAGGTCCTGAGCTCTCAAGAGCAGGTTTTCATCAAGGATCTCTCTGTACTTTGCTCCATTAATCTTTCCCTCGATCCTGACTAGTCTCCCAATCCCTGCCGCTGAAAAACATCCACACAGCATGATGCTGCCACCACCATGCTTCACCGTAGGGATGGTGCCAGGTTTCCTCTAGACGTGACGCTTGGCATTCAGGCCAAAGAGTTCAGTCTTGGTTTCATCAGACCAGAGAATCTTGTTTCTCATGGTCTGAGTCTTTAGGTGCCTTTTGGCAAACTCCAAGCGGGCTGTCATGTGCCTTTTACTGAGGAGCAGCTTCTGTCTGGCCACTCTACCATAAAGGCCTGATTGGTGGAGTGCTGCAGAGATGGTTGTCCTTCTGGAAGGTTCTCCCATCTCCACAGAGGAACTCTGGAGCTTTGGTTGGGCGGCCAGCTCTAGGAAGAGTCTTGGTGGTTCCAAAAATCTTCCATTTAAGAATGATGGAGGCCACTGTGTTCTTGGGGACCTTCAATGCTGCAGAAATCTTTTAGTACCCTTCCCCAGATCTGTGCCCCAACACAATCCTGTGTCTCGGAGCTCTACGGACAATTCCTTCAACCTCATGGCTTGGTTTTTGCTCTGACATGCACTGTCAACTGTGGAACCTTTTATAGACAGGTGTGTGCCTTTCCAAATCATGTCCAATCGAATTTACCACAGGTGGACTCCAATGAAGTTGTAGAAATATCTCACGGATGATCAATGGAAACAGAATGCACCTGAGCTCAATTTCAAGTCTCTGAATACTTATGTAAATAAGATATTTCAGTTTATTTTTTTTATAAATTTGCAAAAATGTATACAAACCTGTTTTCGCTTCATCATTATGGTGTATTGTGTGTAGATTGATGAGGAAAAAGTTGTATTTAATCAATTTTAGAATAAGCCTGTAATGTAACAAAATGTGGAAAAAGTCAAGGGTCTGAATACTTTCCGAATGCACTGTATGTACACTACCGGTCAAAAGTTTTAGAACACCTATTAATTCAAGGGTTTTTCTTTATTTTTACTATTTTCTACATTGTAGAATAATAGTGAAGACATCAAAACTATGAAATAACACATACGGAATCATGAAGTAACCAAAAAAAAGTGTTAAGTCAAAATGTTATATTTTAGATTCTTCAAATAGCCACCCTTTGCCTTAATGACAGCTTTGCACACTCTTGGCATTCTCTCAACCAGCTTCACCTGGAATGCTTTTACAACAGTTTTGAAGGAGTTCCCACATATGCTGAGCACTTGTTGGCTGCTTTTCCTTCACTCTGCGGTCCGACTCATCCCAAACCATCTTAATTGGGTTGAGGTCGGGGGATTGTGGAGGCCAGGTCATCTGATGCAGCACTCCATCACTCTCCTTCTTGGTAAAATAGCCCTTACACAGCCTGGAGGTGTGTTGGGTCATTGTCCTGTTGAAAAACAAATGATAGTCCCACTATACCCAAACCAGATGGGATGGCGTATCGCTGCAGAATGCTGTGGTAGCCATGCTGGTTAAGTGTGCCTTGAATTCTAAATAAAACACAGACAGTGTCACCAGCAAAGCACCCACACACCATAACACCTCCTCCTCCATGCATTACGGTGGGAACTACACAAGCGGAGATCATCCGTTCACCCACACCGCGTGTCTCACAAAGACACGGCGGTTGGAACCAAAAATCTCAAATTTGGACTCCAGACCAAATGACACATTTCCACCGGTCTAATGTCCACTGCTCGTGTTTCTTGGCCCAAGCAAGTCTCTTCTTATTATTGGTGTCCTTTAGTAGTGGTTTCTTTGCAGCAATTCAACCATGAAGGCCTGATTCACACAGTCTCCTCTGAACAGTTGATGTTGAGTTGTGTCTGTTACTTGAACTCTGTGAAGCATTTATTTGGGCTGCAATCTGAGGCTGGTAACGCTAATGAACTTATCCTCTGCAACAGAGGTAATTCTGGGTCTTCCATTCCTGTGGCGGTCCTCATGAGACAGTTTCATCATTGCGCTTGAAGAAACGTTCAAAGTTTTTGAAATGTTCCATATTGACTGACATTCATGTCTTAAAAGTAATGATGGACTGTCGTTTCTCTTTGTTTATTTGAGCTGTTCTTGCCATAATATGGACTTGGTCTTTTATCAAATAGGGCCATCTTCTGTATACCCCCCTACCTTGTCACAACACAACTGATTGGCTGAAACGCATTAATAAGGAAAGAAATTCCACAAATTAACTTTTAAGAAGGCATACCTGTTAATTGAAATGCATTCCAGGTGACTACCTCATGAAGCTGGTTGAGAGAATGCCAAGAGTGTGCAAAGCTGTCATTAAGGCAAAGGGTTGCTATTTGAAGAATATCATATAAAATAGATTTGTATTTGTTTCAACACTGTTACTAGATGATTCCATGTGTGTTATTTCATAGTTTTGATGTCTTCATTATTATTCTACAATGTAGAAAATAGTAAAAATAAAGAAAAACCCTTGAATGAGTAGGTGTTGTAAAACTTTGGACCGGTACTGTATGTATGTAAGTTATGGGTTTAGAACAAACACCTCATTATATCAGGGATTAACATTGAAGTCTGTAAGGAAGTTGTACATCAGAAAATGTAAATTAGCTATTTACAAGCAGAAGTGTCATATTGCCTGCCTTTCACCTACACATAGGAGAGGAATCAGAAAGATAAGTAATCGAATGCTTTGTATTTAGGTTGTTATCAGTAAAAAAAAACATCAGAGCAAGCTCAGCTCACCATAAATTATCTGTCCTTCACTTACACAATGTGGATGAACCAGAAAGACCAGTTTAAGTCTAGGAATTCTTTGCAGCTTGGTTCTTTTAAAAATAAATCAATAAAAACACCTCAGAGCAGGCTCAACTTGCATGACTGATCAGTTTACTTGCCCCAGGCAACAGGGCAACCCTTAATGTCAATCCCTGTATGATAGACTGTTTCTAAATGAGACTATACTAAAAAGCTATACAGTAAGTATTTCCTGTAGCTTTGTTTACACATCAAATCAGATATTGTATGACTTGATACAGTATTGCCAGGTAGAGACTGACCGGCCAGGTTGGCAGCCCTGATGGTGTAGTTCCTCTGTCTCTCATCAAACTCTGCAGGGACAGAGATAACAGCCCTCTGAATGGGGACACCCAGGTGACGCTCCGCCATCTTCCTCAACTTCAGTAGCAGCCGAGAACCAATGAACTCGGGAGTAACAGTGAACGTCTGGTTGGTGGTGACCAAGAACTCTGCACTGCCATTGTTGTTTATCACCTGAAAGAAAGGTATATTGTTACAAATGAAAGTCAGCAGTCATTGATATAGCATATTTATACACCTGTAATCACACATAGCTTATGCAGCCAAATACTGATGCTGTATTAAATCCTTTCCACTGTGGTGTATTGACTGTCAAAGTAACTACAGGAGTATGTACTGTACCGTACCTTGAATGGATAGCGAGCACTTTCCTGCTGAAGGAGCTCTTGTTCGAATATCTTCCCAATAAACCGCTTGGCATCATAGATTGTGTTTTCAGGATTGCTGTCGGCCAGATCCTGACCCTCGTGACCGGCGAGGACTTCGGTAGGGGTGAACGACACCGCACTAGGGATGGTCTTCCGCCCCTCCTCATCCCCTATCACCTCCACATCTCCGGTACCCGGGTGGAATACTCCCACGGAGCAGAAAGTGGTTCCCAGATCTAGACCGATAACTTTGGGTTTCGGTAGAGGCAGATACTGCTGGCCCAGATAGCCAGCCAGAAATAGAGCCAGAATGACCGATCCTGCGACACGGAAGATGGATGTTTACTACGTAGCTAACTCGCATTTAGCTAGCTAACTAACAACTGGTACCGATAGCCTACTTATTTACATATTAATTCAGCGTTGACAGCTATGACACTTTGTTTACCTTTCCAGCTAACGTTAATTGACTACTGTAATTTAGGTAGCAACTAGCCAGCTACCGCCGGTAACTTGTCAGCCCACTTGCTAGTTACAGTTAGCAAGTTAAACAGCTGGTTAGTTACACAACAACAAGCACACGTTACGGTTAAATCTTACTTACCGATCATAGACATTTCCCCAGCCATTGTCAAGTATTGATCACCAACGAACTCAGACGTAGTAAAACAAAATCTAGGCTAATCGACTCATCAGTTTCGGAATGGATGATTGTTGTCACTAGTTACCACAGCCACTAAGTCATAAACCCCGCCTATTTCTACAATTTTGAACGTAACCCTTAAATACACTTCTAACCATATCCTTAAATTAAGACCAAAAAGCTAATTTTTAGGATAGCCAATTTAGACTTTGTGACTGTGGTAACTAGTGGAAACCCCCTCTTGACCGGTTCTGCGTTCAGAATAATGTGGATGATCCACAGAACGACACGTCACCATTATGTGGTCTGAAGCTTCTGGGTAACGTAGTCCAATCCATGCGTTATCGCTTATATATACACGGGATGAGAAAGCAAAGAAACAACCTTTCCCATGAACACTAGTCGTATATGACGTTTCAAATGTGTGCGTGTTCAGCGTCGTAACATTTTGAGGCTTGCAACATTTAGCAATATTGTACAACTGCAACACCTTGCTCTCTGTGCACATTTTGCTTGAAATTATATTATACATTCAATGCAGTACAAATTAACGGATTAGTTAGACAGATGACTCTTGATGCATAAGAACTTTATTAATGTGTAACATATTGCACTTATTGAGTTCTACAAGTATGTACATTTCACAGGAGGTTGGTGGCACCTTAATTGGGGTGGACTGGCTGGTAGTAAGGGCTGGAGCAGAAACTGTAGAATGGGATCAAATACATCAAACATATGGTTTCCATGTGTTTGATGCCATTCCATTCACTCAGTTCCAGCCATTATTATTAGCCGTTCTCCCCTCAGCAGCCTCCACTGGTACATTCTGTTAAACCAAGATTGTTCAAAGATATATGATTACTATCCTTGTTGGGACAAAAACAATGAATTTCCATTCAAAATCCTATTTCCCCTAACCTCTAACCTAACCTTAACCCCAAACTCCTAACTCCTAAACCAAATCCCCTACGCCTAAAATAGCCTTCTGGTCCCCACAAGGATAGTAAAACTAAATACACCCACCATAGTTTCCAGCACAATACACATTACCATAGTTTCCAGCACAATACACAGAAAATCATAAATAATTTGTCAGGGGTGTCAAACTCATTCCATGGAGGGCCTAGTGTCTGCAGGTTTTAGTTTTTTTCCTTTCAATTAAGCCATAAACAATCAGGTGTGGGGAGTTCCTTACTAATTAGTGACCTTAATTCATCAATCAAGTACAAGGGAGGAGCGAGAACCCGCAGCTACTCAGCCCTCCGTGGAATGAGTTTGACACCTGTGCTTTATGTGAATGAATAGGTTAGAGAAAAAGGTGCATAAATGAAGGCCTGTAAGGAGGAACAAATTCATTGATTTTAAGAAAAATAGCCTACATTTAACATTTAATTAATGAAATCCCATCTTGTTAAACCAAATACAGACAAGACAAACATGGTGAGCCATCGTAATTTACATGTCAAAACGTAATAGTTAACTAACTCTTTGTACCGGTAACCGTATGTTAATTAGGATAGTGCAGCCTATCAGTGTGTGACTGGTTGGCTCTCTGTGTCCTCTTTGATGTTTTCAGAGCACTCTGATAGAATAAAGCAACCTGAATCTCTGGGACAGTCGCTCTTCTCCTCCTTCAGGCTGTGTGATGAAGAGGGCTCCTCACTCTCCCTCACATCATCGCCTGCGAACACAAGAACAAAGCAGTCTGGTTGGTTGGATCCTCAGACACAGACAGACACCTGCGGGTTGCCAGGTTGGCTGCCCCGATCCAAGTCAATTTAAATTAATTAGGGTTGCCATTCTCACACCATCCAAATGGAATTAAGCTTGATTTAATGACTAGATTCATCCCTGGGTTAGCCAACAGCCAGTCACGATATCTGGTTTAGCCAGGGTGGCAGTGCCATCTGTTTGGTCCGAAATTAGCCCAAACACACATTTATGACCTTAATTTAGACCAACATAAATGGTGTTATGTGGGGACACAAACATTAATAACCTTTGTGCTAATTGAACGCATCCAGTTTTGTAAGCAGCTGACAGAAACTGGCTAGTATTGTTCATTTCTTAATCCGGGTTGGAGAACAATCTTTCTGTTTCATTTGATGTTTCAGAGCCTTGCAGTGTTTTATAGAGGATTAGAATAGAGGAAGACATTTTGCCTCTTTAAGCAGTTTCTCTCTGACTGGTGCCAACTCAGCATGATGGGCACTTCTTAAATAATAGCAGCGATAAGCATCTGCTTATTATAACATACAAATATCAAGATGTTCCTTTACAAGCATTTCGTTACACCCGCAATAACATCTGCTAAACATGTGTATGTGACAAATACAATTTGATTTGATTTGAGCGTAGTGCTGCGCAGCACAAAATGTATTTGGTACAATTGGCCATTCCCTTTTCCCCAGTAGAAATACAGTAGGGCTAGGCTACAGTAGAAATAGTTTTTTCTACTCACTCTCTGTATATCTGCAGTTGACAGCAGCCAGCAGCCTGCCTCTGTGTTCTGGATTCATCACGTTCAGCTCTATAAGGTGTTTCTCCTGCAGGTGCCTCAGGTCCTCTACTGTCTGGTAGCCATTCAGAAGCAGTGCAGATGCATACTCCTGGAATAAACAAGATATAGTTCCATTGTCAATGTCATCTCATCTACCTTTCATAATCTTATACTAATTTGTTCACCTTTGAGTGGTTTAGGTTATGTTTATGCATTTTTTTTTTAAATGGTTGGGTAATTGAGACAACACTGTTCTCAATACTGTGTGTATGTTAGTGTTGTGGGACACTTTACATTGTTTTCCCAGTGTAGGTTTCATGTCATGGATTGATTGGTTACTGTAAAGAGGAAATAAAAAAATGTGGCCGTATTTGGCAGTCATTTTAACAGGGTCAGAGCATGACTATGGCTAGAAGGTATCCAGCTTTTGTCAAAATTAAGTCAAAATACGTTTTTTTTTTTGCATTTTAGCTAACCCTAACCCTTTTCCTAACCTTAACCTAATTCTTCTAACCTTCTACGTTAATTCTCCTAACCTGCTACGAAAAGTGAAAACGGAAGTTAATTGGACAAAAGCTGGATCCCTTCTAGCCATGACCTCCGAGCACTCACCTCTAGATGAAGACGCTCCAGTAGTTCCAGTAGTGTCTTTGGTCGTGGTCTCTTGCTCATCCTCTGAGGCCTGATCTTTGGCGCCTCCTCCTCTCTCTCTTTCTCCATGACCACGTCAACGTAGATGAACTTGAAGTTGCCCACTTTGTTGTTCAGCATCCCCGTCCAGATGCCCATGGGAGGTTTACTGATGATGCTGATAATGTCTCCAACCTGGGAAGAGACATCAAGAGATTAGACTCATACATTTAGATTCATGAAACAGCTTTTACAAACAGCTTTCATGGCATTTCACATTACCCCAATCTAGAAGCATTATCTTCTGTCTACCTTGAGTTTGATGGAGTCAGTATCATATGGGCTGGGAACAAAGTCTGTGTGGACGCGTGCTCTACCACAGAAGTGTCCGTTGTAGGAGCCGTCCTCTTCTAGTCTCAGACTGTCTCTGGTACTGGAGCCATCTGAGACACTGGCCACACCACCTGAGCCAACAGGGGACAAGACATCACAGTATGATTACACTGCACAGATTTACCCCTGGACAAAGAAGAGTGTTTGCGTGTATCCTTGTGTCGGAGGGAAGGTTACAAGCCTATGATAATACTGTAATATAAATGGTAATAATATGGTAATTCAATGGTAAAATTAAACTCATGAAAACACATCACATTAGCTTATTCTTCATTTACAAACATGTATCTTCATATACAGAATTGTATGAGGAGAGACATGACTTTCTGTTGACATCCCTGTGGAGAGGACTTACTGGAGGAACTCTGTCCGCTGTAGAGGCTCTCCAGAGAGTTGCTGGTCTTTTCAGGACCTTTCTCTAAAGGATGACCTCTCTCTTTTTCCTCTTCTAGGTCCCTGTCAGTGTCCTCACCCTGCATGGGAAAATACAAGATGGACAAGCCGCTATGTGAGTCAGCCAAATCATCTTAGGGTTGATTCCTTGCTATATAAATAACTGTGCCATTTATATAAGGAAGGAAGTGTCATTAAGTTAACAATTCAACATGGCCACTTCCAAATACTGACTAGGTTGTTGGATACTATTTTGTCACTTAGACCTAATTTCAACACAAATTGAGTCTTGCTTGGACAGACTTACACTACATGACCAAAAGTATGTGGACACCTTCTCGTCGAACATCTCATTCCAGAATCATGGGCATTAATATGGAGCTGGTCCCCCCCTTTGCTGCTATAACAGCTTCCACTCTTCTGGGAAGGCTTTCCACTAGATGTTGGAACATTAATGCGTGGACTTACAGTGAGGGAAAAAAGTATTTGATCCCCTGCTGATTTTGTACGTTTGCCCACTGACAAAGACATGAGCAGTCTATAATTTTAATGGTAGGTTTATTTGAACAGTGAGAGACAGAATAACAACAAAAAATAATGTCAAAAATGTTATAAATTGATTTGCATCTTAATGAGGGAAATAAGTATTTGACCCCTCTGCAAAACATGACTTAGTACTTGGTGGCAAAACCCTTGTTGGCAATCACAGAGGTCAGACGTTTCTTGTAGTTGGCCACCAGGTTTGCACACATCTCAGGAGGGATTTTGTTCCACTCCACTTTGCAGATCTTCTCCAAGTCATTAAGGTTTTGAGGCTGACGTTTGGCAACTCGAACCGTCAGCTCCCTCCACAGATTTTCTATGGGATTAAGGTCTGGAGACTGGCTAGGCCACTCCAGGACCTTAATGTGCTTCTTCTTGAGCCACTCCTTTGTTGCCTTGGCCGTGTGTTTTGGGTCATTGTCATGCTGGAATACCCATCCACGACCCATTTTCAATGCCCTGGCTGAGGGAAGGAGGTTCTCACCCAAGATTTGACGGTACATGTTGTCCTGTCCCCTTAGTAGAAAAACACCCCCAAAGCATAATGTTTCCACCTCCATGTTTGACGGTGGGGATGGTGTTCTTGGGGTCATAGGCAGCATTCCTCCTCCTCCAAACACGGCGAGTTGAGTTGATGCCAAAGAGCTCGATTTTGGTCTCATCTGACCACAACACTTTCACCCAGTTCTCCTCTGAATCATTCAGATGTTCATTGGCAAACTTCAGACAGCCCTGTATATGTGCTTTCTTGAGCAGGGGGACCTTGTGGGCGCTGCAGAATTTCAGTCCTTCACGGCGTAGTGTGTTACCAATTGTTTTCTTAGTGACTATGGTCCCAGCTGCCTTGAGATCATTGACAAGATCCTCCCGTGTAGTTCTGGGCTGATTCCTCACCGTTCTCATGATCATTGCAACTCCAAGAGGTGAGATCTTGCATGGAGCCCAAGGCCGAGGGAGATTGACAGTTCTTTTGTGTTTCTTCCATTTGTGAATAATCGCACCAACTGTTGTCACCTTCTCACCAAGCTGCTTGGCGATGGTCTTGTAGCCCATTCCAGCCTTGTGTAGGTCTACAATCTTGTCCCTGACATCCTTGGAGAGCTCTTTGGTCTTGGCCATGGTGGAGAGTTTGGAATCTGATTGATTGATTCCTTCTGTGGACAGGTGTCTTTTATACAGGTAACAAATTGAGAGTAGGAGCACTCCCTTTAAGAGTGTGCTCCTAATCTCAGCTCGTTACCTGTATAAAAGACACCTGGGAGCCAGAAATCTTTCTGATTGAGAGGGGGTCAAATACTTATTTCCCTCATTAAAATGCAAATCAATTTATAAAATTTTTGACATGCGTTTTTCTGGATTTTGTTGTTGTTATTCTGTCTCTCACTGTTCAAATAAACCTACCATTAAAATTATAGACTGATAATTTATTTGTCAGTGGGCAAACGTACAAAATCAGCAGGGGATGAAATACTTTTTTCCCTCACTGTACTTCCATTCAGCCACAAGAGCATTAGTGAGGTCGGGCACTGATGTTGGGCGATTAGGCCTGGCTCAGAGTCGGCGTTCCAATTCATCCCAAAGGTGTTCGATGGGGTTGAGGTCAGGGCTCTGTACAGGCCAGTCAAGTTCTTCCACACCAATCTCGACAAATGATTTCTGTATTGACCTTGCTTTGTGCACGGGGGCATTGTCATGCTGAAACAGGAAAGGGCCTTCCCCAAACTGTTGCCACAAAGTTGGAAGCACAGAATCGTCTAGAATGTAGCGTTAAGATTTCCCTTCACTGGAACTAAGGGGCCTAGCCCGAACCATGAAAAACATCCCCAGACCATTATTCCTCCTCCACCAAACTTTACAGTTGGCACTATGCATTGGGGCAGGTAGCGTTGTCCTGGCATCCGTCAAACCCAGATTCGTCCATCGGACTGCCAGATGGTGAAGCGTGATTCATCACTCCAGAGAAGACGTTTCCACTGCTCCAGAGTCCAATGGTGGCGAGCTTTACACCACTCCAGCCGACGATTGGCATTGCGCATGGTGGCCTTAGGCTTGTGTGCAGCTGCTCGGCTATGGAAACACATTTCATGAAGCTTCCAACAAACAGTTATTGTGCTGACGTTGCTTCCAGAGGCAGTTTGGAACTCGGTAGTGAGTGTTGCAACTGAGGACAGACGATTTTTACGAACTACGCGCTTCAGCACTTGGCGGTCCCATTCTGTGAGCTTGTGTGGCCTACCACTTCGTAGCTGAGCCGTTGTTGCTCCTAGATCTTTCCACTTCACAATAACAGCACTTACAGTTGACCGGGGCAGCTCTAGCAGGGCATAAATGTGAGTAACTGACTTGTTGGAAAGGTGGCATCCTATGTCGTTGCCACGTTGAAAGTCACTGAGCTCTTCAGTAAGGCCATTCTACTGCAAATGTTTGTCTATGGAGATTGCATGGCTGTGCGCTCGATTTTATACACCTGTCAGCAACGGGTGGGGTTGAAATAGCCGAATCCACTAATTTGAAGGGGTGTCCACATACTTTTGTATGTAGCTCAGTTGGTAGAGCATGCTGTTTGCAACGCCAGGGTTGTGGGTTCAATTCCCACGGGGGACCAGTATGAAAATGTATGCACTCACTAACTGTAAGTCGCTCTGGATAAGAGTGTCTGCTAAATGATATATATATATATAGTGTATTTTACAAGAGTATTCTTATGACATAGGTAGATGTCACAATGTTGCATTTGAGGATGTGGGTCATAGCCAGTCAGAGAGGAAAGATACAATCTTTTAAGAGCCTCTAGATGTTTTAATAGACTACGCAAAATACTTAGTATTGTGTAGGATGAGGAAGAGGCAGTCTTTAGTGTGACTCACAGCTTCCGCAGAGAAGGTTTTGGAGTGCTTCTTGCCCATCTTCCTGCGCATGGTCAGAGAGATGGCCTTCATCTTCTTCCCCAGGCTGCCTTGTTTGGTCTGATCAGAACCCTCACATCCAGACTCCTCTGCCACTGATGTTACATTTTCCTCTAGTCTGGCTGGTGATGGTTGTCTGATGCCGTCAAATCGTCCAAAACTGGTGGAGCGCTGCATGGAGAGATCACAGATGACAGATTGAATATGTGTTTACCACAGTGGCAGCAGGAGTCAGGACCCAATCTGGAACATTATGCAATACATGTTGCACACCAATCCCACCTAATCACTATGGGTTTTTGATTATTTATTTTCCTTTTACGTTTCATATTATGCTAATGAGGGACCAATTCAGTGGTAATGAATTATGTTCTCCTACTCCCTTGATTTACAGTAATACTGTGCCATTGTCTTGCGCAATGTGTGTTGAGCCTAGAAGTCTGGCACGTGAGGCTACTTGAACTCAATCTCATTTGCACTATGCGTGTATCTCTATCATGATGTGCTTGTGAGGTACAGTTAATAGATTATTCAAATTTTTCATAAACCTAAAAGTATTTATAATCTGTCCAAATGCCAGTATCTCCACATCAGAACACCAAAATAATTATATAAATGAATAATCCCAGTAAATCCCTATTAAATACCAGGACCACACACTCTGCAGCAATCTAGTGAACCTTTTGAGTAATTTGACGGACCCTCCCCCTCCTCACAACTTTGACCATATATCTGCTGCACTTCCACACAGATGACCAATATCTTCTTTCAACTGCTCATCAGTCAAAGACATTGCTTCTTCTTTTAGTTAGAATCACATTTTAGTGCTAACTATTGTAGGTAGTTAGCACTAAACAGTTAGTTATCAATTCAATGTATTTAAACGTGCTACTTAGAAATAATTTGTTTCCACCTACCTTTGGTTTACTGAGCTTTGGTTTGTCTGAAACATTTGAGGCTGCCCTCTGTAGCATTTTGTGTTGATGTTGGTTGGTTTTAGAGTTCAGTCTAATGAAATCTTAAAGAAGCCTATCTGTACTCTGACCAACTCTGATGGTAGTAACTGCACTAAACTAACCCAGAAAGAATGCTTGGCTTCCTCAAGATGACAGGATGTGACACATGAGGCAATCAACATTCTTTACCACGGTATCGGTTTCAGAAGGGGAAAAAACACATTCTGCTAGATGAGCACTTTGTGGTCTCCCTCTGAAAACATTTTCATTTCTAGGAACACTGTGATGAAGGTCATATAATTTTGGAACCTAGTTACCATTTGTGGTTGGGCTACATTTGTCGCATAACTCACACCTGGCATAGGCTATACAGTGCCTTCAGAAAGTATTCATACTCCTTGACTTATTCCACATGTTGTTGTGTTACAGCCTGAATTCAAAATTGAATAAAAAATAAAAATCTCACCCATCTACACACAATACCCCACAATGACAAAGTGAAAAAAACATTTTAGGACATTTTTGCTAATTTATTGAAAATGAAACACATAAATATCTAATTTACATAAGTATTCACACCCCTGTGTCAATACATGTTAGAATCACCTTTGGCAGTGATTAGAGCTGTGAGTCTTTCTGGGTAAATCTCTAAGAGCTTTGCACACCTGGATTGTACAATATTTTGACATTATTATTTTTAAAATTCTTCAAGCTCTGTCAAGTTGGTTGTTGATCATTGCTAGACAGCCTTGCCATAGATTTTAAAGCCGATGTAAGTCAAAACTCTAACTAGGCCACTCAGGAACGTTCAATGTCATCTTGGTAAGCAACTCCAGTGTATATTTGGCCTTGTGTTTTAGGTTATTATCCTGCTGAAAGGTGAATTTGTCTCCCAGTGTCTGTTGGAAATCAGACTGAACCAGGTGTTCCTCTAGGATTTTGCCCGTGCTTAGTTCTATTCCGTTTATTTTATCCTAAAAACTCCCTACTCCTTACCGATTAAAAGCATACCCATAACATGATGCAGCCACTACCATGCTTGAAAATATGAAGAGTGGTACTCAGTGATGTGTTGGATTTGCCCCAAACATAACGCTTTGTATTAAGGACATGAAGTTAATTTCTTTGCCACATTTTTTGCAGTTTTACTTTAGTGCCTTATTGCAAACAGGATGCATGTTTTGGAATATTTTTATTCTGTACAGGCTTCCTTCCTTTTACGCTATCATTTAGGTTAGTAACTACAATGTTGCTGATCCATCTTCAGTTTTGTTTTATCACAGCCATTAAACTCTGTAATTGTTTTAAAGTCACCATTGGCCTCATGGTGAAATCCCTGAGCTGTTTCCTTCTTCTCCGGCAGTTAGGAAGGACGCCTGTATCTTTGTAGTGACTGGGTGTATTGATACACCATCCAGAGATGAGGTAATCATTCAAAAATCATGTTAAACACTGTTATTGCACACACTTATTATGTGACTTGCTAAGCACATTTTTACTCCTGAACTTATTTAGGCTTGCCATAACAAAGGGGTTGAATACTTATTGACTCAAGACATTTCAGCTTTTCATTTTAATTACTTTGTAAAATTTTCTAAAAACATAATCCACTTTGACGTTATAGGGTATTGTGTGTAGGAAGTGGTGGAAAAAGTACCCAATTGTCATACTTAGTAAAGATACCTTAATAGAAAATTACTCAAGTAAAAGTGAAAGTCACCCAGTAGAATACCACTTGAGTAAAAGTGTAAAAGTAATTGCTAAAATATATACTTAAGTATTAAAAGTAAAATAAAAAGAATACATCATTTCAAATTCCTTATATTAAGCAATCCCAGATGGCACAATGTTCATTATTTCATCAATGACTGTTATTTGGGTTCAGTGCTTTCCAAAGTTCTTTCACACAAAACATTCCAGTAAGAAAAAAGCAGGAAATAGAATTATCCTAAATTATACTGTCAAGGTTGATCTTTTCTTTGCTCAAATGTCAAAATCTCGGGTGAATGTTTTGAGGAAGTGTTGAGGCTATGAACTGCAAACACAGGAAGATGGCAACTTTGATGTCGAAACAGTTTCTGTTTGAACATTTGCACTCAGTATGGACATTTTACTAAAACAAGCTCTTTTTGATCTACTTGATAATACATTTTACACATTAAATGTTATTTACTGCCACATTAAATCAAACATGCTGTGATTATCTTACATTAGGCTATATAAATTGCTATGCTAAGATAAAAGTTGCCCATAAAAGAATGATGGAATCAGTCAGAATCAATTACCCATTTAATTCATACTGTGGTTTATAACATTTTAGCAAGCTAGTATGTGGGTTATTAGGTCACAGCAGGCTGTTCTACATGACTTCTTCCTTGCATTGGAATGCTCCAAACCATTAGTCATTCTCGTCATTACTTATACACTTAGAAAAAAAGCTGCTATCTAGAACCTAAAAGGGTTCTTCGTCTGTCCCCATAGGAGAACCCTTTGAATAACTATTTTTGGTTCCAGGTAGAACCCCTTTGGGTTCCATGTTAAACCCTTTCCACAGAGGGTTCTACGTGGAACCCAAAAGAGTTCTACCTGGAACCAAAAAGGGTTCTCCTACGGGGACAGCCGAAGAACCCTTTCGGAACCATTTTTTCTAAGAGCGTAAGCCTCAGCTTGGAGAGGATCCTGTTGCCTTATACAAAGTCATCAAAGAGGAGCAAACAAACATTGTCCTCACAAATAATGTTAAAATACACATCAGAAACAAATAGAATAGTGAGTTCATGCAGAGGTTGTAATGGCAGCGGTTTAACTCTTTGCATGTCATGGTCCTATGTGTGTATAATCAGTCCTCTGACTTTATAGGGAGGGGATTAAATTAAATGCTTACATTGCTGAGCTACAATCGACCAATGGAAAATAAGAGAAAAGGCTATGGACAATAACATTTCCTAATCCCACACTGCTTGTAATCAGGCATGCTTGTCTCAATCCAGGATTACAGTTTCTAATCTATTTCTTCAGACCCTGCAGGCAGACCCTTGGAAATACTCAGCAGTTTTTCATGTGAGGAGGATTGGTATTGTTCTAAAATGTTGCATGAAATGATTTTCTTCCTACATGAAGTCACTAGAGGGTAGCATGCAGTGGAAATGTACTTATAGTACACACATTTATAATAATATAATAATATGCCATTTAGCAGACGCTTTTATCCAAAGCGACTTACAGTCATGCGTGCATAAATTTTTTCGTGTATGGGTGGTCCCGGGGATCGAACCCACTACCTTGGTGTTACAAGCGCCGTGCTCTACCAGCTGAGCTACAGAGGACTACATTTATATTGATTTAGAATTGAACACCCTAAACACTCCTACTGATACATTAGGAATACTTATTTTTTCTGTTGATGCTGTTGGCAGATACAGTATTATCCTATATTTATAGACATGGCCCTGTTTTATATTTTATAACCCTGTTTATTAGAAAGAAAAATCTGAAATAGCCATATTATGGATTCCTGAAGATAAACATTTGTCCAAACACTAGCCACTCCTTTTTCCTAGTTTTGCCTTCAATGGCCTTTAACCAGTGGGTGTTGATCCCTCTCCAGGAATCAAAGGAAAATATAAATCTATAGGAGCCTACGCAATCACAACACTGGAGTAATCTGAAATAATCTGCCCCAATGTCACGTAAACCCCAAACAACAGCTTTGTCTCACACAAAGCACTCAGAGCATGTGCTCACTGAATTTCAGATTTGATACAGTATACTGCATGTATAGAAATATCTCAATGAGTGAATATGAGCACATCCTCTTTCCTAGTGTTTGTTTACCCAAACCGTCGTTTTTTTTAGCAGTCATTTGCTATGGGTTAAAATAAGACCAGATCATCTATTTCAATGGAATGCTATGATTGGTTGGTTCCAAGGCATTTGAAGTAGGGTATAGATTTGAACAACAATTTCCACAAAATGCCCAATCTACTATAACAGATCTACTATATAATCTACTATAATCTACTTTAACAGATGGTTATGTTTTTTTTTTTTTCATTAACTCACATTGGGGTTGCAGAGGTCCCCATCAGTAACAGAGATGGGGACACCCTGGGGCGAGGGGTCCCGTTTCAGGCTTCCATATTGGGCCAGCCCCTGGTGCTTGTCCCAGTCCTTGGCCCGGGGCAGGGTGTAGTCATGGGCATAAACGGGGTACTCTGTGAGGGGCCTGCGGCAGATGTGGTAGGACGTCCCCCAGGCCTGAGCGTTCTCAGCTGGGTTACTCCAGCGCTGGTTCCTAGGATGAGCTCCAGGGCCTCCAGGCCCGGTCCTCAGCTCCGTGGCCCCCGGGGCTAGGGTAGCATTCTCCTGGGCTGATGGTAGTACAGACTCACAACCAGGAGCTGACCTCCGGACCACATCGAGATAGGGTCCTGCTATCACTGGTATGGGCCCTGCTGGGTGGTGACCGGAGAAGAAGGGTACAGAAATGAACATCTGACAAATATGGACATTCATCAAAATTGTATAGAACACTTATGTTTTGTCATGCTTTGTCATGTTGTTACTTTCTATGTCAATATGACCAAGGAGACATACCATAAGTGTCATTGTCTGTGGGAGATTTTCTGAGTTCCTTATTCCGTGTGGTGTCCTGATTTTTCTTGGCCCCTTCTTTTCCATTTTTTGCGCTCCCTTTCTTCCAAGTCTTCTGACTCCCAGTCTTTTGATTCCCAGGCTTTGGACTCCTTTTGATTGGCACTCTGGGCTTGGCTACTTCCCGGTTGGCATGGACAATCTGGAGTGTAGCAAAAATCAAACACATAATAAAAACATGTCCGTTTTGGAGGTTGTCAATAACCACGTTTCCATCCACAGTTTTTATCCGACTAAAGTCATCAAATAAAAAATAAGAATAATATGACAACTGTGATGGAAACAGGAAGCTTCCGTACAATTTTATAAATGCCGACAGATAATTTGTTCGTTCGACATGGCGGGATCTTTTTGTGTCGGTAAAATTAATTATCCCAGAAATGGCGGTGGAAACGCCTTTATGCGCAAATATTGATATAATAACCATCATATCTAAGTAAACTTGGAGTAACGCGATGATATGGTGTGTGGTCCTCATCCCACTACGACTCGGGAAATCATGCAGTTTATTAGGCTACAGATCAAATAAGTTTGATGAACATCAGAGGGTGGTAAGGGCACTGTGATCTTGATGCTCCTTTCCAATAAATATCGAGGGTCTTATTCTGGTGACATGATGATCGACGCTTGACAGCCGTTTGACAAATACAAATATTTTCGCTCTTATCAATAATAATTTCATCATGTAGACCAGGGGTTTCCTAACTTTTTCACTCAGGCCCCTCTTCCAGCGTTGGGGAACATCCCGTGCCTCCCACGTCTATTTCTATCGGCACAAGCACTGTTCATAACACAAACTGTTCACACCCCTATTGTTGGTGGAGATAAAATGTTGCAGGTTTAAAGCTTATTTCCTGCAATTCTACACATTTAGTCATGGGTGCAGAGAATATTTTGCCGTTTTAAAGCTAGTTTTCTTGCAAGTATTCTGTACATTTTGCCATGTCAAATGTTTATTCATGTGATATTTGAGTAACAAAATCTATGGGCTAAAAAACCTAGGTAAAAAAGTTAGCTGACATGGGCTAGTTGATCTCGACATTTCTGACAAGTTATAAATAGTTCTCCAAGGTATGCAATGACTGACATAACACAAGGAAAACTGCTGATGCACTACCCAATTTCGAAATTGCACGTTGTGCATTCTACTTTTACAACTATCAAGAGTAAGTTGAAAATCGGACTGAGTTCCTACAACAACAACAAATATTTGGGAACCAATGATGTAGTGTAGACTATACCCATACAGCCTACCCACACTGTATCTGCGAGCTGTTGGCTAGAGCGCACGTGCCAAGTCCATAGTAGGCACATTTGCTATTTAACCCTCCCGTTGTCCTAGGGTCAAAATGACCCGCCACTGTGTTGAACCAACTTTATTTAATTTTTTATATTTTTGGGATAATTTGTGAGAAGGAGGCAGTGAGACTTTAAAGAAAGTATCACTGCCTCCTTCTCACAAATGATCCAAAAAATATAAAAATTAAATAAAGTTGGTTCAACACAGTGGCGGGTCATTTTGACCCTAGGACAACGGGAGGGTTAATGCAACAGCTTTTGTGACAAAACGATCCATAGAGTTGAAAATGCGATGGAAACATTTTGAACTTTAGACTTTTATTCGGTACATGAAAACTTAAGAGGAAAATTACATTTTGTGTGCAATACGTCATCACGCACTGATTTTTATCTCTGCAAAAAGTCAATTTGGTGGAAACACCACTGGTGGAAAAATCCACATGTTTTCTTTATGCGGATTCTAGAGTAGCCTATTTGCGTGAAAATCTGTCACCAATTGGATGGAAACCTAGCTATTGTCAGGTTCAAAAACCTCGGTTGTGTCATTATGGTGGTTTTACGGGTTAGTATTATGAACAGCTAGGCATTTTCTCTGGGTGAGATGCTGGCACTACTGGTGTCCAAATCGCATTTTAGGATATCAGCACACTGCACTAGTCTTGTTAGCCTCTGTGCCAAGCTGCCAACACAGGGACTGAGAGAGGCTCTGAGAGCCCAAATGTGGATCCACTCCCACACTATTGGCAAGCAATACCATGTCTGGTCCTCACCGGGAATTAGTGAGAGTAGGCACTCCCTTGGCACTCCCCTGGTGCCACCCCAACAACCCACTCCTCTTTGCCATGTGGCCCAGAGATTATGGGGGCATAGTGGTACCCATCTCCCAGCTGAGCCATCTGTACAGTATTAAAACTCAATCAGCATTTGTGTTAAGTGATTGCCCAATTTAAGGCCAAGAGGCTCTTTGGATGTGAAAACAGGCAGACCGCCATCCCATTATAAGACTGTAAGACTCTGGGCTGGCATGGGATGGGCAGCATGGGGTCTGCTGCTGGGCCGATCACTCACCAGGTCTCTCTGCCTGCTGTTGGGCCTGTCTGGGTTCTGAGCCCACCCCTCGTAACTCACCATCTGTGTACAACAACAGAAAGAAACTATTTATTAATTCAATCAAGTTTTGGAAAAAATTGATGGGGGAAAATATAAATATGTAAATTATAAATAATTTGTATACGCTCATGGTACTGGACAAAATTAAGGACAGTTCTTTTTCCCAACCTGAGTTGGTGGTATTGGTGGGGTTGGTGGCTTTTCATTCTTCTTTATTCTCGACTTGCATACTCCTCTTCCCCCTTTGGTCTTGACATCGGTTCTGATTGTGGCTTTGGCCTGGACCTCAGTTCTGAGCATGGGATTGACCAGCTCTGAACAACAGAGTCACACAAGTCAGAAATCTCTCTAAACTCCTAAACCCTGAAATGTAATGTTCCAATACAGCACTGTGATTGGGACTTTTATTCTGAGATATAATCTCTTGTATCCATTCATAATCAAATTCAGTTTCAGTACTATGCAGTGAAGTCTACCCTGTGTCTCATGTACTACACACTAATGCAATGCCCCCACCACAACCTCATGTACTGTAGTACACTGACTAAATTACACATGCCCTGCGTCGCCCCCAGTATTACGACACTAATATCCTGTTGGCACTTAATTCATCCAAGGCCTGACAGCCAAGTGTGTTAAGAAAAGCTCCAGTCTGCACAACACTCTCCGTAAGAGGGATTTGGGTGCTATGGGAATCTCATCAGACACTTGAAAACTGTAGGCTACACTCAAGTGACGCCACAGCCAGATCCCATGTGGTGGAGTGTCCAGATGAACGCAAGTGAATAGATCAGCTTAACCTCAAATTCACCAGACAATTTACCTTCGTTTTGATTGTTCTTGATGTGGACAAAATCTAAATCATCTTCTGGAGAGACTTTGGCGGGCAGCCAGAGAGCAGTATTGCAGCCGGCAGCTGTGTGATCTGCAGGGAGAGAAATCAAAACCGTTAAGGGTTTATTTGGCTGACCAAGGTCAGGGCAGGCCACAGTGAAAACAAAATGGAGGCCCTAAGTACCACAGACAGCCAAGTAGGTTACCGTGGCTGGCAAAACATATATTTTTTTAAATACTGTAGTAGACTCCTGGGACAAGTGCCAATTATCTTTTTACCTCATTCAGCACAAAAAATCCAGAGAGGTTTTGATGCAATGCTCTCTTGGCAATTTAACTGTTTGTCTGTGCATTGCTCAGGTTTGACTATTTGGTTGAAAATGTGTGTCTGGCTAATGCTAAACTGTTGATTGATCGTATTTTGGATGGGACGTTAAACAGGTGTCCTGACTATCTGTGGTCACTAAAGATCCCATGGCACTTATTGTAAGAGTAGGGGTGTTAACCCCGGTGTCCTGGCTAAATTCCCAATCTGGCCCTCATACCATCATGGCCACGAATCATCCCCAGCCTCCTATTGGCTCATTTCATTCCCCCTCCTCTCCCCTGTAACTATTCCCTAGGTCGTTGCTGTAAATTAGAATGTGTTCTCAGTCAACTTACCAGGTAAATAAGGGTAAAAAAAAATTAATACAAGTATATTTTTTGTTCTTACTGGTATAGTGTATCATTTAGTCTTGAAAAAGATCTGCCTGGCAAGTACTTTTCATCAAGTACACCACGCAAGCAGACCTTTATTATACATACCTAAAGTTCCGTTTTCTGATGCTGATTTGGATACATGTGTTCTGAAATAAAAGGGCAGAAAAATGTCAGGATTAAAGCCACAATCTGCCATTTCAACAGCCTGATTGACCCAAAGGGATACTGTGCACTTAAGACAGAAAGTCCCAGGGATCTTTGCAGTAGATCTGACTACATCTTAAGTGGATATTGTTTTAATCCCCAGTCTAACAACACAATTGTATTAACAAGGGACTGTGAGCCATATTGTGGTCTACTGCTATAGATGTATTTAAAGAAAGTCCTGGTATGTCTTCAAGTGAGAGAGAATTCCCATATAGTTCAATCATGTAAGTTGTTGTGGTTCAACATTTTTCTTTGCAGTTTATAACTGTCTAAAACCAGAAAGGTCATTGAGATTGCTCTTAAGCGCTGCTTGTGTAGCTTTTGAAGTGGGACATCAATTAGAAAAGCCAAAGGTGTTGACTGAGACCTGTACAGTACGTGGATGGGCTTGAATCCACTTACTCAAACTAGCACAGAACCATGCTCCTCCTGCTTTCTTGGCAACCAACATAACAGGGGCTCCTCTACATCTGATCACATAAGATTGGTTTGACAAGTGACACCGAAATGAAAATTACATTTTCCTGTGTGTAATTGATTTGGATTGTGATGTTCCTTCCTTCCCAATCCTTTGCTTTAGAGAGCATTGTATAAATAGACAGATGCTTGGGGGGCTTACAGTGTGAAATCTACATAGGGGCAGGAAGCTTGGTAAAGAGTTGCGACTTAAAGTATTATCCCTTGGGAGGATAGAGCGCCTTCGGAGGCATTTTACTCTACTGACTAAAGGCTGATCTCAGGGCTGCTCCACTTTCACTGCGCTTTTTATTATGGATATACTGCCCTGCACGCACACTGTCAATAGAAACAGATCTGAGGAAAGTATGACATAAACTCACCTTCTTTTCTTCTTTTTAGTGTTGTTGTTCTGCATTTGGGAGATCTCCTGAAAGCAAAAGAGAACATTATCAATCTTTGATTCTACATGCTTACACTGTATGTGGAAGAGTTTGCCTATTGTCATGAAAAAGTTTGCATTAACATGACAATATTATTGGTTGTGATGTCCATGTTATCTTAGCAGAACAGAATGGATTGGACGGCTGATGGTTATGACTTTAGGACCAGCTGTCAATTGATTGTTTTCATCATCATAATTTAATAATCAGATTTATTGTTTGGGTCCAATCTGATCATCTGGCATACCACAAGTTTCAACTCCTGCGAGAATAGGAACCCACAAGATTTAGCTCTGGTTTGTCCAGATGGCTAACTTGACATGGCATGGCATGGCATTATATAAATGATACACTATACAGTTGACAATTTCCTGCCATGAATGCGCTTATCAGTGAGTATGTTGGGTGCACAGAGAAGAGGAGCTACAGCTTTTAGCATTTGGTCTATTCAAGGTCAAGATCTTAATTCTGGAAAATTGACTTCCCCATGAAAACTCTAAGGGTACAAGGTGTGTGTGTGTTTGTGTGTGTATGTGCGTATGTATGTATGTGTGTGTGTGTGTGTGTGTGTGTGTGTGCGTGCATGTGCGAATGCATGCATTTGCATAGATATATTCATGCGTTTGTGCACACGTGTGCATAATGCATATGTATGTATGTGTGTGTGTGTGTGTGTAATTACCATGGAGATGGATCGTCCCGAGCCGCGCGACTTGGGGTTTTCATCCAGCAGCACGGCGAGGGGCTACAGGAGCGGCTGGAGGAACGGCAGGGGATGGTGTAGACCTGGGCATCACTGGAGTCCTGCACAGCCTCATACAGACTGTCCATAGAACCCTCCTGGACACACACACACAATCAGGGACACAATCAGGAGTAAAGACACACTGTAGACTGCTGGGCTAATCTAGCAACAATGACCTGTTTGAGATTGCTTGCTTCTTGGGGAAGGTTGATAAGATTTGATCAGATATCTCTATGGATTACCATCTCTTGATTGGATTCTTTCTACACTGAACAAAAACATAAACGCAACATGTAAAGTGTTGTTGGTCCCATGTTTCATCAGCTGAAATAAAATATCCCAGAAATGTTCCATTTGCACAAAAAGCTTATTTTTCTCAAATGTTGTGCACAAATTTGTTTGCATCCCTGTTAGTGAGCATTTCTCCTTTGCCAATATACTGTAATACATCCACCTGACAGGTGTGACATATAAAGAAGCTGATTAAACAGCATGATCCTTACACAGGTGCACCTTGTGCGGTGGACAATAAAAGGGCACTCCAAAATGTGCAGTTTTGCCACACAACACAATGCCACAATCGCAGACCACGTCTAACCACGCCAGCCCAGGACCTCCACATCCGGGAAAGTCGTGTGGGCGAGTGCTTTGTTGATGTCAACGTTGTGAACAGAGTGCCCCATGGTGGCGGTGGGGTTATGGTATGGGCAGGCATAAGCTACGGACAACAAACACAATTGCATTGTATCGATGGCAATTAAAATGCACAGATATACTGTGCCCATTGTCGTGCTATTCATCTGCCACCATCACCTCATGTTTCAGCATGATAATGCATGGCCCCATGTCGCAAGGATCTGTACACAATTTCTGGAAGCTGAAAATGTCCCAGTTCTTCCATGGCATGCATACTCACCAGACATGTCACCCATTGAGCATGTTTGGGATGCTCTGGATTGATTTGTATGACTGCGTGTTCCAGTTCCCGGCAATATCCAGCAACTTCGCACAGCCATTGAAGAGGAGTGGGACAACATTCCACAGGCCACAATCAACAATCAATTAAGTCTATGCGAAGGAGATTTGTCGCCCTGCATGAGGCAAATGGTGGTCACACCAGATACTGACTGGTTTTCTGATCCACGCCCCTACTTTCTTTTTAAGGTATCTGTGACCAACAGCTGCATATCTGTATTCCCAGTCATGTGAAATCCATAGATTAGGGTCTAATGAATTTATTTCAATTGCTGATTTCCTTATATTAACTGTAACTCAGTAAAATCTATGAAATTGTTGCATGTTGCGTTTATATTTTAATTCAGTGTAAAAATACATAATCTGTCAGCAGCACCTGTAGATTACATCTGGACCACTACAATGTATTGTGAACTATTCCGTAGTAGATCCTGACACGTGATGGTGAATAACAACAGAAATAACAAAGCTGCAATCAAAAGCCTGAAGCAGCAATCACGCTTCATCAAACTGCTGCTCTTGGATCAGTTCTGAGGACAAGTCGGTCAATAATAATTATGTTCAACATCCCCAACATCTGGCTAAGGAGAGGACTTGGTAGGCTACAGCTATATACTCCTCTAATACAGTTGTGCTTGTGATTTATTTACTTTCTATGAATCTATGAAATCTCCCATATATGGGTCATTCCAAAAACCACACGTCAAAGCTACTCTCTAGTGTAATAGTACTGTAATAGCATCACTTAGTTGCTTCCATACACAATCACAGAAACTTACAGTAGAAAACACAATTGCACTGCTTCCAAAGACTACAACAGCCATTTTAAAAGGAGATTTTATAGCACCATAAAATTCATCAAAAGACACTGAAGTAAAGCCCTACAGAAATCCTAGTCCGTTTGTGTCCCGCTGGACTCAAATCCACCACCAAATCAAGTCATGCCTCTCCAGTGGCGTAGCGCAAGGTCCAAGGGGCAGAGAGAAAAATGTGCAGTTTTAAAGTTAATTTCCTGTCATAAAAAAAGAAAGCAATCATGGCTTATGACCTGTTCATATACTTTTTTGAGGGGGCGGGGACTGCTGGGACTGCTGGGGGGGAGCTACTTTTAGGAAACACATCAGCCCCTCCTCAACACACAGACACGTCTGAGAGAGAGAGAACCCCTACACTGAGGAGAAGTAGAAAAAGAAAGTTGAGCCTTACCAGAGAGAAGCAGAAGAGGTTCATCTTTGTAGAGAGGAGAGACTATACCAGTCTCTTTCCCCTGGAGCTGGTGAGAGCGGTGTGGACTGGATAGAGCTGTAGAGAGCGTTGTGGACTGGACAGAGCTGTAGAGAGCGGTGTGGACTGGATAGAGCTGTAGAGAGCGTTGTGGACTGGACAGAGCTGTAGAGAGCAGTGTGGACTGGATAGAGCTGTAGAGAGCGTTGTGGACTGGACAGAGCTGTAGAGAGCAGTGTGGACTGGGAGCAGCTGTAGAGAGCGTTGTGGACTGGACAGAGCTGTAGAGAGCAGTGTGGACTGGATAGAGCTGTAGAGAGCGTTGTGGACTGGACAGAGCTGTAGAGAGCAGTGTGGACTGGATAGAGCTGTAGAGAGCGGTGTGGACCGGACAGAGCTGCAGAGAACTGTGCCGTGGAGTCACTCCGTCAGAGACACAACAGCCCTCCGCTAGTCACTAGTCCAGGGCTGCCTGCCTGCCTGCTGTCTGCTCAGATTAATACCACATGAAATCCCTCCCATAATCCAATAGAAGGAGGGACCATTACTCCATTAGACCAAAGAGACCTCACTCATTCACAAAAGAAGCCCCTCACTGAAGTACCAGAATCCTACACTATATATACAAAAGTATGTGGACACCCCTTCAAATTAGTGGATTCGGCTATTTCAGCCCCACCTGTTGCTGACAGGTGTATAGAATCGAGCACACAGCCACGCAATCTCCATACACAAACATTGGCAGTAGAATGGCTGATAAGATGAGTTTCTCTGGTATCAAGGAATTCAATATGCAAGAAGATATTTAACAGTTAGATGGAGAGTTGATACAATGTTTTTATTAGATACGGTACCGGGTTCGTATAACAAACGGCACGTGGGTTACCCTTTGTCATCTGAACTCCTGAACAAAGAAAACCTTTCAGTTTATATAGCCCTTCAAACATTTTCTTCAACAACTTCTGGTAAACATCAGTTGGCACCCCCCACCCTGATGGTATCAGCTTGTACCCCAGGCAGGATATTCCATCTACCAATCATTCTAAGATAAACACCAGTAAGCTCCCTAGACATACTGGAATCCTTGGCATTCAGACTCTGTGGCACCAAGAGTTACCTATCTAATGGATTTAACCTTGTTCCTACAACACTGTGAAACACGTCATATCAATCCCTCATTTCTTTTTCTTTTGTTGTAAGTAAAATTCCCCTTGGATAACATTACTTAAACCAAACAATTCAAATAAAACTTAATATCAACTAAAATGTTCTCCAATCAGCTGTATAGATACAGTGGGGAGAACAAGTATTTGATACACTGCCGATTTTGCAGGTTTTCCTACTTACAAAGCATGTAGAGGTCTGTAATTTTATCATAGGTACACTTCAACTGTGAGAGATGTAATCTAAAACAAAAATCCAAAAAATCACATTGTATGATTTTAAGTAATTAATTGCGTTTTATTGCATGACATAAGTATTTGATCACCTACCAAGCAGTATGAATTCTGGCTCTCACAGACCTGTTAGTTTTTTTAAGAAGCCCTCCTGTTCTCCATTCATTACCTGTATTAACTGCACCTGTTTGAACTCGTTACCTGTATAAAAGACAAACCTGTCCACACATCAATCAAACAGACTCCAACCTCTCCACAATGGCCAAGACCAGAGAGCTGTGTAAGGACATCAGGGATAAAATTGTAGACCTGCACAAGGCTGGGATGGGCTACAGGACAATAGGCAAGCAGCTTGGTGAGAAGGCAACAACTGTTGGCGCAATTATTAGAAAATGGAAGAAGTTCAAGATGACGGTCAATCACCCTCGGTCTGGGGCTCCATGCAAAATCTCACCTCGTGGGGCATCAATGATCATGAGGAAGGTGAGGGATCAGCCCAGAACTACACGGCAGGACCTGGTCAATGACCTGAAGAGAGCTGGGACCACAGTCTCAAAGAAAACCATTAGTAACACACTACGCCGTCATGGATTAAAATCCTGCAGCGCACGCAAGGTCCCCCTGCTCAAGCCAGCGCATGTCCAGGCCCGTCTGAAGTTTGGCAATGACCATCTGGATGATCCAGAGGAGGAATGAGAGAAGGTCATGTGGTCTGATGAGACAAAAATAGAGCTTTTTGGTCTAAACTCCACTCGCCGTGTTTGGAGGAAGAAGAAGGATGAATACAACCCCAAGAACACCATCCCAATGTGAAGCATGGAGGTGGAAACATCATTCTTTGGGGATGCTTTTCTGCAAAGGGGACAGGACGACTGCACCGTATTGAGGGGAGGATGGATGGGGCCATGTATTGCGAGATCTTGGCCAACAACCTCCTTCCCTCAGTAAGAGCATTAAAGATGGATCGTGGCTGGGTCTTCCAGCATGACAACGACCCGAAACACACAGCCAGGAGTGGCTCCGTAAGAAGCATCTCAAGGTCCTGGTGTGGCCTAGCCAGTCTCCAGAACTGAACCCAATAGAAAATCTTTGGAGGTAGCTGAAAGTCCGTATTGCCCAGCGACAGCCCCGAAACCTGAAGGATCTGGAGAAGGTCTGTATGGAGGAGTGGGCCAAAATCCCTGCTGCAGTGTGTGCAAACCTGGTCAAGACCTACAGGAAACGTATGATCTCTGTAATTGCAAACAAAGGTTTCTGTACCAAATATTAAGTTCTGCTTTTCTGATGTATCAAATACTTATGTCATGCAATAAAATGCAAATTAATTACTTTAAAATCATACAATGTGATTTTCTGGATTTTTGTTTTAGATTCCGTCTCTCACAGTTGAAGTGTACCTATGATAAAAATGACAGACCTCTACATGCTTTGTAAGTAGGAAAACCTGCAAAATTGGCTGTGTATCAAATACTTGTTCTCCCCACTGTATATGATTAGAGTCTAAACTATGCTAGATAACTGAGAATGTATCCCCCTCTACTTTCTATACCTGAATCCAACCAGATTATCAATATATTTAATCAACAAAGGTATAAATTCTCAGTCACCTGGCTCCTGCACGATCAAACATCTCAAACCGATATGGACTCAGTCTGAGTAAAAGATCGATACATGACTAACTCATTCACGCTAGATATCTATTGTAGGCAAAACCTCAATTATATATAAGGAAAAATCCCACTAGACCATACATATTTTTGTCAATGACACACTTGTATACCTAATTTTCAACTAAACCCATCCATTTAGACAGACTAACAATGAAAACATACATATAAATAAATGCTTAACATCAGGACATCATCCAAGGAAATACATTGATTCATGACAATTTCTAAGTTACATGAAGACTACAATGTAGGTAGATGAATATATCCCAATAAAAATAACCTCAAATACATTCTCCATTTCTTCATTCAGAGGAACCCCAATCTTTTCTCTGGTCACTTGGGGCGCTATCTGATCGACTGAGGTAGTCCCGTTTCCACATTTCCAATCCTGTAAACCTTATATTCAACGTTATACCGTTCCAACATCACATTCCCCCATCCTCAATCAACATTATCAATGGACTCTACACTTGAATAAGATGATATATATGAAGAATTTGTACTTTCCCTCCTTGCATTAATATTGACTGATACATCTCTAGCTGTAATCACTGGGATGTTAGTAATCATTTGTACAGATCTCAAAATCAATCCCCGAAATATGGGAAAACAACACCCCATAACTATGGCTACAATAAGTAATTTTGCCACTAGGATACCTAGAATTCTTGCCATCCATGTTCCTATTGAAATACCACTAAAAAACCTTGAAAAGACTTCAACAGCGTTCAAATTGCTATATCCCCCTAATATCTTTGCATCTCTATTCGTATTCCTAATCCCATCCTGTATTTCTCTAATATTTCCCATAGCTTTAGTTAAATTCCCAAGACCTTCCTATTCTGATGGCAAGTATGTACAACATGCATCTCCCCATATAGTCGCATACACTCCCCCTTTAGCTGCTGTAATAGCATCCAATGCTATGCAGTTATCAATTGCATATTGTCTAATGAGTGCCATTTCAGACCCAATTACTTGAAAACCCTTGACTGTTGCTAGGTAGCATGTTTAGTCTGAACTCTGTTCAACCCTGACTCCGTTCCAGTAATATGCCTTAGGATAGAGGCAAAGAATAACACTCTGGTTACAATCACTGATAAAACCGGACAGCCTTGGATTAGGTAGGAGCAAGGACTTCTACCCGAGGTCAGATCAGATAAAGATAGAAAACAAACATTCCTCTTTCACACACCAAACCCAGTGAAATGAACCAATTAAGTTCTTGCTTAGCAACACATATGTACCAATCTAAAGATCTACATCAATCTTCCCTCTCTGGGAATTAATAGTCCCATATCAATACCTCCAAATACTCCAAACGTATGTAGTTACTACTATATGAATACTGCGACATAAAAATCAACATGTTCATGATATAAGGCACAATTCTTGCATCAACCTTATATTTTCCAAACAGTAAGACTCAAAAGCTTCTACTCAAAATAAATCATATAAGTGTATCCTAACACATTAAAACTAACGTAGCGTTGTTTTTAACCATAATATCTATTTAAGGCAGTTATCTTACGATTGTACAGTCATGGTCAAAAGTTTTGAGAATGACACAAGTATTGGTCTTCACAAAGTTCGCTGCTTCAGTGTTATGAGATATTTTTGTCAGATGTTACTATGGTATACTGAAGTATAATTACAAGCATTCCGTAAGTGTCAAAGGCTTTCATTGACAATTACATTAAGTTTATGCAAAGAGTCAATTTTGCAGTGTTGACCCTTCTTTTTCAAGACCTCTGCAATCCGCCCTGGCATGCTGTCAATTAACTTCTGGGCCACATCCTGACTGATGGCAGCCCATTCTTGCATAATCAATGCTTGGAGTTTGTCAGAATTTGTGGGTTTTTGTTTGTCCACCCGCCTCTTGAGGATCGACCACAAGTTCTCAATAGGATTAAGGTCTGGGGAGTTTCCTGGCCATGGACCCAAAATTTAGATATTTTGTTCCCCGAGCCACTAAGTTATCACTATTGCCTTATGGCAAGGTGCTCCACCATGCTGGAAAAGGCATTGGTCGTCACCAAACTGTTCTTGGATGGTTGGGAGAAGTTGCTCTCAGAGGATGTGTTGGTACCATTCTTTATTCATGGCTGTGTTCTTAGGCAAAATTGTGAGTGAGCCCACTCCCTTGGCTGAGAAGCAACCCCACACATGAATGGTCTCAGGATGCTTTATTGTTGGCATAACACAGGACTGATGGTAGCGCTCACCTTGTCTTCTCCGGACAAGGTGTTTTCCGGATGCCCCAAACAATCGG